TTAGCATTACTTGATTACCGTATAAAACATGTATAATTTTTTTACTAACATTTTACAGTCCATAAAACAAGGATTATTCGAAATGTTTGCCTCAGAAATATGAACTTACGAAGAAACTGAAGTTTAGGAATATCAACCACCTCCTCTCACATATATTCTCTCCTTTTCCTTTCTTTCTTTCTTTTTTTAATTGTTTTCTTTAATCTATACATAACAATATGCACTATATAAATGTACTTCCTGGACACCCTATTTGTAGATATATGTGGATATATTTGGTAGGAAGGTGTTTTATAAAGATGTGTGATGAGTTTAATCTCTCTTTTTTAGGATTATGTGACAGAATATATAATTGAAAAGAATGTTAATGTTAGGTAGTCGATCTTAATAAGTTTTGTTTAGCATTTCATATGATAAAAAATATGTTGGTGAAAATTTTTTTGAAAGATTGCATGAAAATATCTACTTTTCATTTTAAAACGTTAGTATACTAGTATCTGGAAATCCTACAGATAGTTTATTACTTAGTGTTAAGACTGGGAAAAAATTATCAGATGCAAAATATGTCGGTTCTTTATAACGCCTTGAAATATATATTTATATCATGTCAACGCTATGCCTTTATGGTGCTATAACAACTGATGTTTTTCTTGTGTGATGTGTCGGAATTTTTATCATGTGATGTTTATCTTTCTGCATATTGTGTAAATGTATTGTACATGTAATTTATTTGCAATATTTATTTAAGGAATAACTGTCTAATTTTTTGGTTTCATTATGTGATCAATCGATTGGCTTGCGTGATAATTTGCATAAACGCCGAAGGCGTTTATGCATAAAATTATCACGCAAGCCATTCGATTGATAATCGTCATGAAACCAAAAAATCTGACAGTAATTCCTTATATTTACATGCTCTTGATTCTGCAAATTCACGTGCTACAAGCCCCGCTTCTGTCTCTATTTGTCCCTCCCCGCATGTGATTTTTTTTCACCACACCTATCGATGAACCAGTAGATTTATGTAGAAGTAAAGTATTTTTACTATTTGAAATTTTATCTCGGACAAAGACATTGGAAATGTAAATATATATTATTATACCTCATTATAATTATTCTATACATCGCGTTATCTGATTGGTTCTTAGACTAGATTATCACACGACAGGGCCAAAAAACTCCATATTTCCCTGTCGTTGTCATGCTTTTCTTCATATTCAACTTCTTCGGAGACCTAGTGCATTTTCCTGCAATAGTTATCGTTCGTTGAACGCAAACTCCCCGGAGTAGTAGATCGACGTCAGAATAGCCTGGTCTCCGAAGAAGTTGAATATGATGAAAAGCATGACGACGACAGGGAAATATGGAGTTTTATGGCCCTGTCACGTGATAATCTAGAACTAATCAGATAACGCCTTGTATAGAATAATTATAATGAGGTATAATAAAATAGTGTTATGCTTTGCATGTACTATGCCTAAATAGCAGTCAGGTTTTGACGCATGGTGCGCGAGCCAGAGGAGAGAACACTATCTGTCCTGACTATTATTTAGACATAGTACATGTAAAACACAACACCATCGCTATTACCTTGCTGACTGTTGTACGAAAACGACAATTTGAATACCTCCCAATGTGCAGACGTCAAATGTCATTGATAATTTTTCTGTGCATTTTGGGTATAACTATCTTTAATTTGGTATTTGCGACCGTTAATCCTGATTTAACGGTCGCAAACTGAGTTTTACCGGCGACTAAGCGGAGCAGGTAGAAAGGATGTTTGCGACCGTTAGATCAGCATTAGAGGTCGCAAATGCCAATATAAAAGATAGTTATTCCCATTCTAATGCAATATATGCATTTTGTTTGATGTTCATGTCTTATTTTGTTGAGTTTTGTTATATAAAATACGTCAAGGAACATTGTGTTTTTGCGTCGCTCTATTATGACGTCACAATGAAAAGCTTTTATTTAAATTTTAAAAATAGATATTGGCTAACCCAAATTTCCTCTGTTTTTCTTAATTTTTGGAATTATTAGTTATTTTTATATACTTCTTATATTTAAATATTTCTTATTTTTACATATGGTAAAGTAGTCATATAAATATACAAATGATACAAAAACAAAAAGCTTTGACCGTTTAGTAAGAGAGAAAAAACACTTTTTACTGATTTTTTGCTCAAATTTGTTTTAGGTTGGAAGCTTTCAAAAGCTAACAAGATTGTAGTTTGTTCAGAAAATCATTATTATTTGCTATATTTTAAAACTTTAGGGCATTTTTATTAATTTCAGTTACATTTCAAAATTTCTTTAAGTCTTTGATTTTAAAAAAAAATTAACTAAATGTATTGATCTTTAAGTGATTTTGAAAGGCAGAAAAGGAGATATTTTCATACGCCGCAGTTCCGCCAAAAATGTAGTCCCTGCTGGATTTCAAACTCAGTTTACCATTTCTATCTAAAATTGTACAATAATGATGAGTAAAGAAAAATATGATCCTTTTAATACATTACAGCTAAGTATATAAGACATACAAGCAAATATACTTAGAATATTTCGTCTAGTCAGAAACCAGACAAGAATCCCTCCTTAAGGAGGTTCGATCCTGCAATCAAAAGTAATGAGAATTTTTTATCAAGTATATTTTTAGAATTTATACACATAGCTTAGTTAAAAATCAAAACAAAAAATGGGGGTAAATGCGCTTCTTTTGGTGCTACAGAGCATTTAGTTTGACCTTTTTGCACTGTAAGTATGTCTTTCACATAAATCAATTTTTAAAAGTTTTCCTCCAATATTTTTTTTTATTCAAATAGATTATGGGAACAAACACAATCTTATTTCATCTTGAATAGACACATTAAAATTTGTGACAACGAAAAAAATTTCAAATTACTCCGCATGTTCAATTAATTGACCTTTTTGCACTCAAAAAATTTCATTTTTTGCCATTAAAAATTTAACAAGCAAAAATATCATTTGAAAGTAATGACATTTTACTGAATTTAAGAAGAATGTTTAAAAGTATCTTATATATTCAGAAAATAAAATAAAAAGTGGGGGTCTGTGATGTTAATTTTTAGGTATAACTAAAATAGTGCTAATTTTAAGCTTAAAATAGGGATATTTTTTTCTTGATTTTCACAATATATTTGCTATATTTATCAAATATGATGATAGAATTCATGACAGTTTATTTATTATATAATTTAAGACCAGTATAAAACAGTTCACTGCACAAAATAACTCTGTGTGCAGACTGCATGTAAAAATAGGAACCCAAACTTCACATCCTTTAAATACTTCGAAAGAGAAAAAAATGATCATTTTCTTCTAAAAAACCTTCCACCACAAAATATAGTTCCTCACTTAATGCTTTTGGTATGGAATTTAATCCTGGAGTTTTAACTGAATATAGTTTAATTGGCATTGTAGAATCCAAAATTATTGTAAGAATTAAAACTTTAAGCAGAATTTTTTAAATATAGGTTAAGATATAAATCTGCTCAAAAGCTCAGGAGCGAACCTCGTTAATGCTCGTTTTACTACCTCAAACGTCAGTGTAATACCCAGTCAAACTGTGTTTTACAAAACAATTGTATTAAAATCATTAATTAAGCGTTATATGAACAAGCGTTTTACTTAATCCCTGGAACCCGTTTGTATAATGATGTGAAACTCAAAAGCGTGGATACCTATAGATTATTATCCAAAAATATATTTGTTGATCAAATTTTCAATTAGAAAATACATAGCTGGTGCCTTTAATTATTCGCGTTTCCTGAAAATATATTCGATATATAAATATATATTTATATATAATTTTCCCTATATAATATAATTAATTACATGTATAATGATGAACTCTGAGGAAATAATATGGGTAAGTGCATATTACTTGGTGAATTCAGAGACATTTTGGAGAGCTTTTGTCGAATTTCAGAACCTGAGGATCGGGCCACCTTAAGATATCATAAACCACTAGAGTTCCTGTTAAATGTGAAGATAACGAACAGTGATTATGCTAAGACCAACTACAGTGTAACTATTACAAACTGAAAGCAGAGCAAACACGGACACATGATTGATTGATTGTTGTTAAATACGTCCCTTGCGAGAATTTTCCGCTCATGAGATGCCACGAAATACCGGTAATGCGCAGTGAGGATTCTTTATCCTGTTTACACCTACAGTAAGAGGGGACCTTTGTTTTTAAGGTCATATCCGAAATACCCTTAATTTTCATTTTTAATGCCGGGAGACCTATGTCATGATCGGGTAGAATAGAGTAATTTTTAGATAATTCAGTTGAAAAGTTTGTCATACGGTATAGCTTATCGGGTCTTAAATGCCCAGTTCACCCATCCATTAGGTTAATAAGTTAAAACTCACGAATACCTCCCCAGTTCCGGACTAAGATATTTTTGGGAAATAATTGGGATGTAGGGCTGTTTCTTTGTTCCTTTTTTTTCGCTCTGTTTGTATTATACAGTTAGGGAAACTTGTTGAAAAATTGCAGATATTGAAATAGAGATTATGTTTCTATCCAGTGAGGTATCACTTTGTTTTCAGTCAATCAAATATTTATCATCATTATGCAAGTAACGTTCAACCGCTGTCGGATGGAAGCCTCTTCTGTCGAAACCCCAGTGAAAAAAATTGATAATAATTATATATTTTGAGGTCTGGTTGGTTGGATGCTTTACGTGTCTCTGAGCATTGTTTTCTCATGTTCGGTTGCCATCAGTTGCCGTTGGAAGACTATAAATATACACCTTTACTCGACACATTTAGCCATTGAGCATGCAGTGAGATTGTTTTTGTGCCAACATCTTCTGCGACAAGGGGCCTCAATTTGCACGGTCTCATCCGAATAACCGGCTAGTACGTCCCTCATCTGGATTCGAACCCGCAATATTAGGATCGACCCCTTACTCCACACCTGAACGAAATGCTCTAACCACTGGGTGCGAGGGACTTTAAAAAATATATCATTTTTTTTAATTTATTTTTTTAACCCCATCAGTGCTGCTTCATCAGTACTAGTTGTAACAAACTCGGTAAATATAGACTGTCAGATTTATTGGGACGTAACGTCATTAATGGATGGTCTTGACATCCGATGGCCAGCCTCGTTTTCAGTCCTATTGTTGAAGACTGGTCGCCTGATCCTACGGCCACCATCAACTACAAACATATCACGTAAACATTAAATGACCAAACAGAATGAAGAGATTTAAGGTAAACACTTCATGCTTAGTTTAATTGATAAAAACACGTGATTAAAGAGCCATGATAGATAAAAAGCAGCCTCGGCTGGTTCCAAATTACACCTTGAAATGTTATAGATTTCTATATCTCTCTTGAACGGGCTTCTCACCTAGACAGCGTCATATTTTCTGGGAACCATTATTTAATTTTAAAATATAATATAGTTTTAAAGGCCTAGGGTAATTTCAAGCAGAAAGGTGTGTGCGTTTGATTTTAATTAATTGCAACAGGTCTAGAAAGGTACAACGAATGGTGTGTGTAGTAAGTGTAATACTGAGAGGTCACCAAGGTCGCTAGTTTTAGTTTGGTTCCTAGCATTAAATTTGAAAGTACAAATATCATTTCTGCTAGAACTTTCAGTAAGGCGTGATATTCTCGGCTATGCATAATTAGCGCCTCTCAAATAGTGACCTAGATTCTCATTGGTTGCCAGATTAGCTCATCAATACAGAAATTTACACAGCTTTTCATTCACGGATGAAATACACATGGAAATGGTTCAGACGTCAACGAGTGACGCAAGGATCCAATTACATCGTTTCTTACAGTAAAGAGGTGTTGCTTGTGTCATCTCATTGTTTGTTAACAACAATCTAAAGTTGCTAATGTAATTAATTTCTTAACCAATGTGAATCTAGGTCACCATTTGAGAGACGCTAATTATGTATCGCCGAGATTGTTACGCCTTACTGAAAGTTCAGGCAGAAATGATATTTGTACTAAGATCTTACAATGTACACAGCGTTGTGTAGCGCCTATGATGTACAGGCGTTGTGTAGCGGCTACCTAGCGCCTATGTACTGATCTACATAGCGTTGTGGAGCGGCTACTAAGAGCCTATGATCTAAAGCGCTGTGTAGCGGCTACTAAGCGCCTATGATGTACAAAGCGTTACATGTGTTGCGGCTACTAAGCGCCTATGATATCATCTTCATAGTGTTGAGAAGCAGCTACTAAGCGCCTATGATGTATAAAAAGTTCAATGTGTAGGGGCTTATTAGCGCCTATGATGTGATCTACATAGCGTTCTGCAGTGGCTACCTAGCGCCTACGATGTACATAACGTTGTGTATACGCTACTTATCGCCTATGATGTATATAGCATTGTGTAAGGGCTACCTAGCGCCTTTGATCTGATCTACATAGCGTTGAGTAGCGGCTACCTAGCGCCTATATGATCTGATCTACATAGCGTTGTGTAGCGGCTACCTAACGCCTTTGATCTGAAACGCTCTCCAGGTTAAGAATGCCGACAATATTTTCAGAAAAGATAAAAATAAAATACAATGTAGCAGAGTGTTTAAATATTTGTTCCTTACCTTACCTTATTTTTAATTTTTTAAATTTTTTTAATACAACCATTTTGATCATAGCTCAGAACTCAAAATTTTCTGCATGTTTTTGAATCGGTGTTTTAAAATAAATGATACATGGAGTGTTTAATATGACTAGTTTCACCAAATACTTTTTCTAATGATTAAATACACAATTACGTATACTTTATCAGTATTGACTGAGTATTTCACAATTACCAACTGTAACGAAGTACTTGGTCTTGTTCAAGATGTCCTTGTAGCCTTGACGAAATTGCGGGAACCTCCAAGCATATATTAAAGGATTACAAGCACTGTTCATGTACCCGAAACAATACGCCTACAAAACAAAGGATGTATTGAAGATATTTGTAACTTAACTGATTTTTGTTTTTGAAGTGATGATAAAACTTGAAATTAATTATTGTTGCAAAATAATTAATCAACACACAAAAACTGTCTGAAAAATTCCTTTTTTGCTTTAGTCGACTTCGTACTAAGAAGATTTTTTAGTCGATGAATCTTTCTGAAAAAATTAAAAATCTTGCGCTGACGGAGAAGACAAAACCTCTCTCTCTCTCTCTCTCTCTCTCTCTCTCTCTCTCTCTCTCCACAACGTAATTGTTCGTTGTTTTGTCTGCGTGCTTCACAGAAAAAGAATTGCTGGATAAGTGTTTCAGTAATATCTTTCCCAGTGGCTTCAATAAAATCCCATTATATATATGTTATAAATAATAAACTGGGAGTGTCTACATAACATAAAAGTTACATCACATATTATTTTAGCTGTAATTCGAGAATGATAGAAAAGTGTGTTGTAGCATCTTTCTGAAACAGTTAGCTTGTTTTGTGCATGAGGTTTAATGTCCCAGCGAGATTATTTTCTTTTTTTCACTCTCTTTGGGAATCTCCCCAAAGGGAATTCCGATAGAGATAAGAATTTATAATGACCTGTTTTATCAGATATATCTCAACGTAACACTAATGATGCGGGGAAATACAAAATTTAAAACTATCTTAACATGATAAATAAAAAAAAATCTGTAAGATTTTTAAAATATTTTGTTCAACATAATCCTAAGTTCAGATTAGCAATTCAGTGAGAGCGGAGTAAATTATAATAGAAGGCCTGAAAAAGATAGAAAGTTCGGTATTGCCAATTAATTTCTTGATGAAGATAGGTGTCCCGGTGTAAAATATTATCCTCTTTTCGGACTTAATATAAATTCTGTGTAAATTAACTTTTCGGACTTTGTGTAAATTGTTATAAAAAAACTTTTTTTTTTATATTTCGGCAAATGTGATAAATTCTATAAATTCCGCACAGCCTTAATCCCACCGAGATACAGACAGAGGTTGAGGTTCTGAACTGACTTCTGTTTATATTTATTGACACTAAATCTTTCATCTACTTTAATTCTATTATGTACATGCCGCTAAAATGTCACCAGTCGCTCAAAAATTGTTTTATAATTGATTTCTTTATACTTCATTGTTAATCATTTTAAATATTTTGTTCTATCATTGTTTGGTATGTATAGTTTGTTGTTAAAAACTATAGTAAGTTGGAATCAGACCTTCGGTACTGATACATCCCAGACTCAGGAAGACGTACATTCCATTCTTATTCTATATTAACTTTATTTACAAAGTACAAAACTATATAACGCGTGTTGGCTTGTTAGAGGTTTTTATGAATCTGAGCTCAAAAATATAAGAGGAAAACGCACGGTTCACCCAGAAATTGTTACAGAGGAAAAATACGCCCCTATTAAAAGAAAAATGTTATTGACAAGGTAAACTGTTATTAACGAAATCTTTATCGTGTGTGAAAAAATGACTTGTCATGACCCTATATATTTTATATTAGTCAACCACGTGTTAATTTAGGCGCTCTTTAAACGAATAACTATCGTTATGATAATACTTTTCACCAGAAACAAACCACGCACATGATCGTTAGTATTCTCGTATTTCAAGCTCCACTAAGAGAGGTATAACTCATACTTAACCCGAAAATCAGGCCGTCTGTCTCTTGTCTAAAAGGTTATCGATGTATTTGTACTAAGTGTTCATCAATTTTTTTTCAGTCAATTCTCAGAATTCCTTAAGTGATGCAAGAAGTTCATAAGTTTCATCAACAATAATTATTAATGATCAATAGAGAAAAACTCGGAAGATAACGTTTCAACCTAATTATTAAAACAACCAAACAAAAACCAATGCAGCAGCAAATAAACAAACATCGTTTAAAATATCTTGCACACATGTGATTGTTTTAATTTTTTAATTTTTAAATTAGAAGTTTTTTGGGACCCTACACTTAATAAAGACAAAATGACTTACCAGTGGATTGAAATAATTCGGAATCCCACTGTGTTTTTCCTTTACAAACGTTGCGTAGTTAGTGTACACCGTGTATGGTAACCAGGACAACGAGAAACACGCAATGACAATCACCAAGGTCAAGGCTACACCTTTCTCGCTTTGAGTTTGAACTCTCTCGTTTGGAGTTATGGTCATTTGACGTTGGACATTGGCGTGACATCTTATGTATAAGAATAGACAAATATAACAAAAAACAAGGACAGTCAGTGGAATAAAAACGTTAAATATTTGATTAGCGATGTGTAAATAAAAACTGGCCTCCCCAGGAACGGGATATTTTGGTCCACACTGAATGGTTTTCTCCTTGAAAATTGGACCGGAAATGACGGTGGCTATACTGAACACCGCCGCGTAAGTCCATGTAATACCTATCATTATAAAGCAAGTTCTCCCCGACACCGAGGAATGAAGGTCGTTATTGACGACCAATCGCCGTACACCGGTAAACTTGTGGATACTTATGTACATCAGAGTGTGGATAGAGGTTACTAAGGAGAGTGTTACAAAGAACGAGTTAATTTTACACCAGAAAAGCGGTATATCCCAGCATTCCATATAAACGGAATGAATTGAAAACGGAATAACTATTGTCACCAAAAGATCAGCGATGGCCAAGTTTAGCAGGAAGAAGTTTGTTGTTTGAGTGGAACTGCGCATGTTCGGGTTTTTCACAATAACCCAGATGGTCATCGTGTTGCCCACTAGATCCCCCGCCATAATTAACGAGAGCCATACAATGATAAACGCCGTGAATGAAGAGGAAAAGTGATCGTGTATTTCCGTTCCGTTACAAAACACGTGAACGTTAAAATTTGGCGACATGTTTGTCCATGTTTCTGTAAAATTCAGTGACATTTTTCACAGTTCCTTAAAGATATAAAACTACCTGTTCAATTATTTCGATTACAATATTTTTTTTCCTCTTGGAGTGGTTCAAAATAAAGTTGTTTCTTTGTCGTCCAAAGCCCGGTCCTCCGTCATTAATTGTTGCCTTCTTTCACTGATGATCTTCACTTCATTAATTTTAGGAAAAACGTTCTTTCAGTTTTTGCATTGATTTTTTAAAATAGAACCGTCTTAATCACGATGTTAAGCAATGTAAACTAATGCCAATTTCTCAGTTAAGCATGATGATATCGCAGTGTGAGTTGCATCTGATTCAACATTGAGCTCTGTCGTATACTTAAAATTCTCAACAGTGGCAGGGTAATACTCGCTAGAATAAAAACGTCTGGTCCTTTTCATTTGTCCAACTTACGGTTAGATAAAACCTAGCTCTTTTGATTGGTGGGCCTCAAAAATTATATACACCTACATAAAAAAAGAATTTTTTTAAATTTATCTCGATATTTTATTTTAACTGGCAAAACTTGCAGCATTTTCTTTAATTATTATTTTTATTTTTTCATTTCACCCTTTCTCAGAAAACCGTACTTACGCCTCACATCGTTTCCAAACATTAAGGTTATTCGGTCTGCCTAAATCCAAGTGAGAAAAATTTTGAAAATTGTCATTGACCTTCACAGCATTTTTTGTTTTTGTTTTGTTTTGGTATTATCAATGTTAAAAAGAAATTTCAAGATCAAACGTACCTTCTGGGCGTTGTTCTTGTGAAAGTGCACCAATGTGAAACCAATTTTTTCGTTAATATACACTTACTGTATACATGGAAGAACGCCAAAAGTTTGAATTTATTTAAGTGACAAACGATGTAATACATCCATTCCCTCCTACTTTCTGTGTGAAAACAGGGGCAAGTTAAATCAATAATGGTCCCCTTGTGAAATAACTAAATAAAATAAAATGCCAGAGAGTCCCCTATCATAGAAGAAAATTTAATAGAACTTTACATATTGGTAGACTTAAGTTTAAAAGACAGTACGTATACGTCTTGGGAATATAATAGTTCTTGTCCGGAAGGGGACTGTTAGATACCGGATTTAGAAACAGAAATTGGTGTCGACAGGAACCCAGTAAAATTTTTCTTCGCTATCAGTCGTCAGATGCATATGGGAATATTCTCTTCTAACTTAAATTTGCATGTATTGTTCTTATCAATTTTCCTTGATAGATAGAACATAAAAGATTGTAATGAAAAGACGAAAGGAAGTATAAGTGACAGGTTCTTTTTCGCCTACAGTTTAGGAGCGGATCCAAAACTTGTCTTACCACGAGGAACGCCGGAATATCAAGCACTGCAGTAAAGCATCACTACCTTAAGTTTAGTGATAACACTGACAGAAAATAATAAATCGGGAATTCCACACACTCTGCAGTTTCTCTCTCCTAAAGATAAACCCATCACCCTACTGTTAACGTTTTCTTCGAGTGTGGTAAAACAAGTTCAGTGAGCTAAATATTAAAAGTGGTACAGGGAATGGTATAATTTGGGTCATAAATGCAAGTATCTATGTGGAAGTCATTTTACTTGTTCACGTACACCCCCCCCCCCCCATTTTTTTCAACTTTAATTTTTAATGATTTATTCATTTTTTTTTTTTATTGAGACACACTTGACTAGGAGAAAAAGCAATTAAGGCTTCAGAGAATACTGATGTATATTTATATAAGGTAAGAATTTAACTGAAAGTCTTAAGTAAACCTAGAATCGATAAAGCATTGAAATTCATTTAAAACCATAGTAAAAATTTCGTGTAAAAATAATCATGATATTATCGTCATATTTTTGAAAAAAAAAAATCATGATATATATCGCGAAACAAAATTTTTGGCGATACCCATCCCTAATAATTTACATTTTGATTAGATAGTATTCAAGCTATTCTGGGCATTTTCATGATGTACGTCACTTTGTAAGAATTTGTATCTGAGTGTAATACTTAAAAGCTTTAGAAAATTTGGTTTTTTTTCTGTGCAACTTAGCTTTGGAAATTTTGTTTTCTATTCCGAGCATCTTAGATTTGGAAAGTTTGTCTTTTATTCTCGGTATATCTTAACTTCGGAAAATTTATTTCTATTCATAGCAACCTAGCTTCGGGGAAATTGTATTATATTATGATCCTCCGAGGTTTGGAAATTTTGTATTTTATTCTCAATATTTAAGTATATACATGTTGTATTTTATTCTGCCATCTTTTATCTGGAAGGTTTTTTTTTATCCATTCTTAGCATCTTATTCCTATTCTTAGGATCTTCCGATGAAAATAAGCAAGAAAATATATCTGTGCATGTACGTAAATGTGTTTGTACATTCCTAAATTAAAACTGTACTTCTTATTGAGGTTCAGCAGTAACCATGGAGACCATGATGTTACAATAATTACACTGAAAAAGATGCATGAATTTTCCCCCTAAGGGGGACCGAGCCTCTGATAAGAGAGATAACTTTCCAAGTAAAATCCTAATATTTTACATGCGCAGATCTAGAGGGGGGGGGGATCCGGACCACCCCCCTGGAATTTGCAGAGTTATTAAATGTTTATACTATTTATACCAACTAAAAGTGACCTTGGACCCCCCCCCCTAAAAAAACGGGGAACCCCCTCGAAGACGCGGATCTGTATAAAGTTGGTACATAGGTATGAAGCTTTAGAAGTCAACGACTACCCCCCCCCCACCCCACCCACCCACCCCCCTCGAAATAGGTTTTTACTCTTGTCTTGCCAAGAATTTTTCTAGGGGAATTTTTTGACTGGGGTGGAACCCCTCCCCCCCCCCTGGAAAAAATTCCTGGATCCGCGGGCCTGTACTCATAGTTCATTTTATTGAGACCTTTGAGTAGTCAATTCGATCAAACCTGACATATCTATTTTCTTTTGCCTACACATGTACTTATACTTATTAAATTCTTTAATAATATTTGACAAAAACATTTAAACCCAGTTTTAAAACTCTTACAAATTGAATAAGTTCTATATTTTAATGGACCATTTAAAAAAAAAAAAGAAAAGAAAAAAAAAGCTTTAGTGTATCAAGTACCATATGTAGAATTTTATTATAGTATTACATTTTTTCCAGTTCTGAAAAAAATGTTTATAAGAAAGACAACTTTTGTGTGAGCTTGAACACTGTTCGTTATCTCCATATATTTCACTTTTGCTAATGGACGTATTCTTTACTTACAAGTACATAAAACATTGTGATATTCTAACTTAAAAAGCAGCGCTTTATTATTTTCTAATATGAATTTAATAGACATGACACAATTTTATTTTCATACACACCTCGTATTTTAAATTTTATGTTGTGATAATAAATTATTACTTTTCCTTTCCTCTGTATTAAAATTTCTTCATATCATGGTCTGACATAAAAATAATTTCTGAAAAAATAAACAGCGCTTCATACCTCATAATATTTTTCATTTGAATCTAATGCTATAGCTCTTGATGAAAATCAGTGTTGGGGGGGGGGGGGGTTAAAATGTGAAATTTAGAGTAGAGAGACATTAGTCCTTCAATATTCGTTTGTCAGTTTTTTGCCCTCTATTAGGGTTCACTCTCAAGGCAAGGAATCACGGGGCCACTCAAATCCCAAGCGGGTCCAGGGTAGGGTCCAGGGTCCCGAAACTTGGGTTTTAGCAAATTAAGGACTCAATCTTTGAAAGTTTTCATGTTTTGAATTATTTTTACATGCGTTTTAAATTATAATGAAGCACCTGGTGAGCTGATCGATTTACAGTAGTTGAAAGTATTAATTTAGTACAAAGAAAAACATAATTAAAGTTCAAAGTAAAACTTTTTCACTTTTCAGAAAACCCTAAAATTTTAGTGAGGCATTTGCCTCACTTGCCTTAATGGTAGTTACGGTCTTGACTCTAACCGAGGGGGTCAGGATGTGAAATTAGAATCCTCTAAACAATAAATTGCTTCAATATCAGCTTGAACTGTAACAGATCTGTTTTTGATGTACAGTGTAATATATATGTAAAACTTTATATGTTTCCATTACAGATATTCCTATAAAAGTATTGATCTAAATATGAATTTACACTTTATAAGATACATTAGAATATTAATGGGATTAATTGTGGCCTTGCTTTTTTAGCCCCCCCCCCCCCACTCCCCTTTAGATATATTTCAACACAGTTATGTGATAGTCATGATTTTATATTGATTTTAATTAATTGCATTTTTCTTTCAGATGACATTGAAAGTTATGAAATAACTTTCAATAATAAACTTGATTTAAAATAAAAAATGTTTTATTTAAACATTAAACCGTGAAATAAATTTATAAACAACTTCCTATAATTATAAAGTCTAGAAATCTCTAGAGTTCTAAAATTACAAAAAAAGTTTAACTCTTAACCTTGAATAAATAAATAAGTAAAAATAGCCATTGGTTAATATTTTCCCGCCAAAACCTTTAACCCCTTTGTCCAGATTGTCCATCTAATTACTAGCCCAGGAGCAGTCAGTGTATAAAGTTGTATTTTTGTTATTTGGAGAATTTTGTAGACCACTGACAAGAAGTTGACTTTTTGACATTCTTATTTCATATTGATACTTTCATACTTCATTTTAATAATTGTATAAATGAAAAGAGACATATGAGAGAATTTAATAAGTAGGGGAAAAACCAGGGTTCTGGACCAGTGTCTTCCCATAGAGTTACTATGGAGGATCCTCCTGGTATCCTCCCAGCGTGTGAGGATACCCATGACGTCATCTAATGAATTTAATTAACAAATTAATTATGAATTTAATTAAAAAATTAATTATGAATCATCAATTAAAAGTTAAACAAGTGTCAATTATTAGTAAATACATATATCCCCTCTTGACTGTGGACTACCCCCCCCCCCCCCGACTGTAGACTCCACCTTAGCTGTGAACTACCCCCTGACTGTAGACTCCACCTTGACTGTGAACTACCCCCTGACTGTAGACTCCACCTTGACTGTGACCTCTTATCACTTGGGTATTTGAGGTAAATTGAAATTTATCAAAATGTCGCTGTGTAATATGGATTTTACATCAAACTAAACAAAACATTAGAAAAGGTCGATGCATTTATTTTATTGTTTTGATCAAGTTGCAGTCAAGCGAAACACAGGTGAACGCAATGTGTGTTGTATTGGTTAATAACGCCACTTCTATTTATAGAATACAGGTAAACATGTCACGACAAGCATTATAGACAAGATTAAACTGGTTTAAAATCAAAAATTAGACGCCATATTGGTTTTTTTAAACGTGCTTATTTTGACATTTTATTTGTAAAACTATCTAGCTGTTTGCATCAGTGTCAGAACTTGAACTTTATAATGATCAAGAATCCTCACAGCGGATCTTTAACCCTTAACAACATTTCAATCATTTTAAAACAGTGACAAATTGACAATAAATGAAAAGTAAAATGAAAATGAAAAGTAAAATGAGCAATGTGTCAATAGTTTTCGACATAAATTTCATAAGTTTGATATGGCATACCGGTCAAAAGGTTAATCCAAATTAAAGTTACAAAGTTTTATTCATGATTGTCCTTAATATTCATAAAATGTGTGTCACACAAAAGAAACATACACGCTTATCCATGACCCCTGTATATAGCAACGTGAAGCAAGAGAATTCAAGCGAGACACCGGAAAAGCGTCTTCTCGCGGAAGCGGTCATTACCATCTAATGCATCAAATCAGTTTTGGGGTTAACATTTTTTTTAAATATCCAATCAAATTAAAGAATTTTCACAGTCAGTATAACGGGTATATAAAGACCGATGATAATCAAATTCATCACTTTGTGGTGGACCAGACGGTCAGGTAAGTCACTCTTTCTAAAGAATAATCTAAAATAAAAGTTAATCATATTTTAATGGAAAATGTTAAGATTGATTTTTCTAAGTTGTGGTTATTAATGATAAACTTTTTAATTATACTGATATGTGTTTTTCTTTAGGTTGTGATTATCTCAGAAAAAAGTTTAATTAATTTTAATAACACTTTGAATCTATTAAATTGTTATTTATTTGACTTTTTTTTTATTTGTAGAAACAGCCTTAAAGAGGGTTTACTGTATTCAACTGAAGAGGCATCGCTAATTAGTCTAAGTATTACAATAAAATATGAATACAAGCAATTTAGACATGATTAACAATATGAAATAAATTATGAATTCTGAGACATTGCTGTACATGAACAAGGTGTACCGATATAGGGCGATGTTACTAGCTCACAACGGACAGGAGAGCGTTAACGTAACATGTCCCCGTCATTATCGGGAAGACCTGTCCGACTCAAGTTCATGTGAGCCTACTTCGGTGGGCGGAGCTCCGTCCCTGGTGACAGGGATGTTGATGGCCGTGCAATGGTCTTGAAACTGTGGTTTCTTAATCAGAGTTCAGTACTATCTAAATAAAATTATATAAACATATATATATATATATATATATATCTCCTAATGCAAAATTTTCTGTTAATTACTTGTTTATTTTAATTATTTTCAGATTAGCTGTCTACAATGAAGTCTGTCATATGTAATGTGTGTGGAGCATCATTTACACATTCATCAAATATGTATCGCCACTTAAGGTCAGCTCATAAAAGTTCTGGGCACAAATGCACTACCTGTGGCATGCAATTTAAAAGAAAAAATAACTTTCAACGCCACATGAGAATACAGCATCCAATGACACGTGTTCCAAATTCCTGTGCTGAGAATCAAAACATTCCAGTAGACGAGAACGACATTGAGATGTCAACAGAACCTCAAGAAAACAATCAAATTGGAGGAGGCCTTACAAGCAATGAAACCAATGATTGCATTACAGAAGAAGAATCAATAAATGGAAATCTCAAGGTTTACAATTTACCCGCTTTAAATAAGACGAAATTTGACCCCCTTCAATTCTTACATTCCAACTTTGACAAAATTAAGAAAATTCTGAGGGCTGCCTTGTTGAAAAGACAAAGTATCAAATGGTATTTAACAATGCAAGTCCGATTCAAAAAGGAAACGAAAGGTCAGACGGAAGTGGTGGAGCCTCATTTTCATGGACGTTGTCATATTGCATTAAAAGTCGTTGATTTGGAACAAAGCCTACAAGATAGCATCAAAAAGATAATGACTTCATTTTTAGAGTATCAGAGACAGGGTAGCAATTGGACACTCGATAAAATTATAGGATTGACCTTAAATGTCGCTAAATACAAACCTTTACGAGGATCAAGTTTTATCCCACTGCCAATCAGACTGAGAGTCAAAAAAGCCATTGTGAACGTACAAAATACAGATCAGAAATGCTTCCAATGGGCTATCTTATCTGCGCTACACCCAGCAGCACACCATGCCAAAAGGGTTTCAAATTACGCTCCATATGTTGATGAACTGGACTTTACTGGAATAGAATTTCCAATGCAGATGAAGGACATTATTAAGTTCGAAATCCAGAATGGCATATCTGTCAATGTTTTTGGTTATGAAAAAGGACATGTTTATCTCATTCATTTGACAAAGCAGCGTTTCGAGCGTCACGTAGATCTTTTAGTGATAACAAACGGACAACGATCACATTACTGCTGGATTAAAAACTTTAATCGACTTCTAGCCGAACAAAACAGCGATCGCAACCAGTATTTCTACTGCTGCTATTGTTTACATGGCTTTACAAAAGCAAAACTGTTGGAAAAGCACAGACCTTATTGCAAAGTGCATGGAGCTCAAAGGATAGAAATGCCTTCAGAGGAAAATAAGTGGCTGAGCTATTCTGACGTTTCCAAGCAACAGAAAGTTAATTTTGTCATATATGCAGATTTTGAGTGCATATCCTCCAAAATTTCAACATGCCAACCCAACTTGTCTAAGCCAAGTACAACTAAGCTAGCAAAACACACTCCTTCAGGGTTTACATATAAGATTGTTGGACCTGATGACAATCTTACGGAAGATCACGTGACATACCGAGGAGAGAATGTTGCCGAAACGTTTGTTGACACATGGTGCAAGTGGAAGAAAGGTTGATGAAAATTCTCCGGAACCCTTTGCCTCTTGAGATGTCAACAAACGATGAAAACTTGTTTCAAACTGCTGAAAAATGCCATATATGTATGCAAGAATTGGGTGCAGATCGTGTTCGCGACCATTGCCACGTAACTGGGAAGTTCCGAGGTGCTGCACATAATACATGCAACCTTAACCTGAAACAACGGGAACGCATACCTGTATTATTTCACAATTTAAGGGGATACGACTCCCACATAATCATGCAAGCAATTGGAAAAATGAAAACCAAAACACTGAGCTGCATTCCACAGAACCATGAAAAGTACATATCTTTTTCAATGGGAAAACTGGATTTCATTGATTCCTTTCAATTTCTGTCAACATCTCTAGAAAAACTTGTGAAAAACCTTTCAAAGGAAGGTGTAGAGAAGTTTAAGCACCTTCATCACTATATTGAAAAGCAGCATCCAGGTCAAATTAACGAAAAGATGAATTTACTCATGCGCAAAGGGGTGTATCCCTACGAGTACATGGATAGTATAGATAAATTTCGAGAAAAATGTCTTCCAGAGAGATCAGCTTTTCATAGTAGTATTGATGATCAGGATTTGTCAGAAGCTGATTTTTATCATGCACAGTCTGTTTGGAAAACATTTGAGATGTCCGACTTAGGAGACTATCACGATCTCTATATGGAAACTGACATCATTCTTTTAGCCGATGTATTTGAAAACTTTAGAAATCTTTGTCTTCGTATTTATGGACTAGACCCAGCACATTTTTACACTGCCCCGGGACTGGCATGGCAAGCGGCTCTAAAAATGACAGACGTTCATTTAGAACTTTTTACAGACCCTGACATGCATCTATTCATTGAAAGGGGTCTGAGGGGAGGCATTTCTATGATATCACAAAGATACGCCAAAGCTAACAATCCATATGTAGAAGATTACAATCATAGCCAACCAAACAATTACCTCATGTATCTAGATGCAAACAACTTATATGGATGGTCAATGAGTCAAGCTCTTACATCACACGGATTCCGATGGCTTTCCAAGGAGGAAATAAATTCTTTTGATATTCAAAATATCAGTGAAGATTTTAAAGAAGGCTACATTTTATCAGTGGATCTTGATTATCCAGCAGAATTACATGACCTTCACAGTGATTATCCGTTAGCACCAGAACCATTTGAAGTGAAACCAAATATGCTATCATCCTACCAGAAAGAACTACTCAAAGAGCTGAATCTTCTTGAAACATCAACTCGAAAATTAGTTCCGAATCTCCACAACAAAACCGATTACGTAATTCACTATAGGAATTTGCAGCTATACTTATCACTCGGTATGAAGGTCACTAAAGTTCATCAAGTGCTTGCGTTTCAACAGGAGCCATGGTTGAAAAAGTACATTGACTTTAATACAAACATGCGAAAAGCAGCTAAGAATGACTTTGAAAAAGACTTCTACAAATTAATGAATAACAGTGTGTTTGGAAAGACAATGGAAAATCTCAGAAAACGAGTAGATATTCAGCTTATTCACCGGGAGCAAAGGCTTCTTAAGGTTACAGCAAAACCAGGGTTCAAATCATTTAAGATATTCAACAAAGATCTGGCATCGGTGGAACTTACAAAACAGAATCTTGTCTTGAATTGCCCTATATACGTTGGATTTTCCATATTAGAAATGTCAAAGGTACTGATGTATCATTTCCACTACAACAATGTCAAATACACATATGGAGGAAATGAAGAGTTACTGTTCACAGACACAGATTCCTTATGTTACAATATATTTACGGAAGACTTGTACAAGGATCTGGAGAAAGTAAAGCACCATTTTGATTTCAGCGATTACCCAAGTGATCATTTTCTATATGATGACACCAACAAAAAGGTCTTGGGTAAAATGAAAGATGAAACCATGTCAGAGCCTATGACAGAATTTGTAGGTTTGAGACCAAAAATGTATAGTCTTACCTATGGACCAACAGCTAAAGGTGTCAGCAAATCGGTGATTATGCGCCATTCGTCGTACAAAGAATGTTTATTTCAAAGAGAATCTCACATGGAAACCATGATTACATTTAGATCAGAAAAACATCAGATACATACCATTGCCTTGAACAAAACATCTCTTTCCCCCTTTGATGACAAACGTTATATATTGAACGATGGAATTCACACATTAGCTCATGGACATTGGAGAATTTCCCATAATGCAATGACTTTGAGTATTTAAGAAGTGACATGAGAGAGACTGGTCATTTGATGTTCTGTAGTCGAGGAGTCAGCGTCGATCATCATGAATCAATGTAAATTCTGCCCCAAAACTTACGTGTGGCCTCATGATTTACAGCGTCACTTGAAACTGAAACACCCGAGGAAAGATAAAGGATATACCGTAAGTTTCAACCAACAGCAGGAATATACAATGTTAACCCAGCAGCAGCAGCAAGAGTTATACAGCACTTTAAACAATCAACTGCAAGAAGAAACCTTTTTAACGCAACAAAAGATAAATGACGCTTCAAAGAAACAATACCAGGAAACACATCTTAAGCAGCAGCAGCAGATTTTTCAATTCAAGCATCCATTTACTGCAAACGTATCGGGACCAACCTCATGTGGAAAAACATACTTTGTCAAATTACTATTACAAAACTGTCTAACCAAAATTGCTCCCCCGCCAGAACGGATAATTTGGCTTTATAAACGGTGGCAACCTTTGTATGACGTCATAAAGGACACGGTTTTCCCCAGCGTGGAATTCATTCGAGGAATACCAATGGATTTGGAAGAGGATTCTTTTTTAAATCCTCAAAAAAGAAATGTGTTGATTTTAGATGATATGATGTCAAGCACCTCCAAGGATTCCCGGATCAATGAATTGTTTACTGAAGGAAGCCATCATAGAAACCTTTCAGTCATCGCTATTAACCAAAACTTGTTCTACAACAAAGATCCAACCCAAAGACGAAACTGTCATTATCTCGTTCTTTTTAAAAATCCAATAGACAAACAACAAGTGATGACATTGGCTCGACAGATGTATCCTGGAAATACCCAACAATTGATGAGGCATTTCAAAGAAGCAACAGAAAAACCCTTTGGATATCTTTTAATAGATTTAAAACCGACAACGCCTGAATCAATGCGCATGCGCACTGAAATTTTCACAGACATGCCTATAAAAGAACACAAACCAGAAACAACAAGTCATTTGCAAAGATTTTCCGAAGAAGAAAGGACGCATCTAAATAGCTCTGGTGAAGTAAAGAGTCAAACTTTTGAATCCACTGATACATCTTTGCGTTCTATGATGGCATCTTGTGATGATTGTGGACTCGTATTTGATAGTACGCATGACCTCCAACAACATGTCAAGAGATGGTGCCCGGAAAATGATAATCGTAAACGACAACTCCCTCTGGATGATTATGAGGAACCACTTAAAAAGAAGCAGCATATCTTTCAGTCAGATGAATACGCAATGGACTATGACGATGATTCTCCTAATGCATCAACAGAAGAAGACTACTTCAAAAGAATGAAAAAAAGATCAAAGGTTAAAAATGAGGATACGTGGTATGAAAAGTTCAAAAAATATCGAAAAGAGGGATTGTCTAAAATGGAAGCAGAAAATAAAGCAAATAACAAAATGCAGGAAACCAATTTTATTGCATTTTTAGACCTATATGGAAGAACTATTCTGGACATTTTAGACTTGAAAGGTGGACAGATCCACGGAAAAATAATGAATAGTATTGAAAAGTTCCTTAAAAAGGGATATGAAAACTTACCGGCTGTTCGTATGGCTCTCAGGAAGTACAAACATCTCCTTGAGGAGATGATGTATTTAACAGACGATGAACAAACAGATGATGAAGATGATGACACAGATTCTGAAGATGAAACCGAGGATGAAAATGGTGAATAAATTGTCCTCCATAAATTTATGTAATATATAACTTTTATTTCATTTTACCGCTGGAGATTGACGAGGAAACATGTCTTGGGAGAACTATTTACGTGACATTTATTACAATCCAAATAATGCTGGTAGTTTTCTGGGACCAGACAAATTATTCCGGTATGTGAGAAAAGACGGTAAATATGTAATTAGCAAATACAAAATTAGGAAATGGTTGCAAAAACAAGAAGCTTACAGCTTACAAAGACCACTACGGAGACGTTTTCAACGAAACAAAATAATGGTGACGGGTATTGATGACCAGTGGTCTGCAGATCTCATGGATATGGCCAAGTTTGCCAAGTACAACGAAGGATTCATGTATGTACTGGTCGTGATCGATGTTCTATCAAAGTACCTGTGGATGCGTCCTTTGGAAAACAAAAAGGGGGTTACAGTAGCCATTGCTTTAGAGGACATTTTCAAGGAGGATAGAGTACCTAAAAGAATACGAACAGATAAAGGACAGGAATTTCGAGCGAAGGAAGTTCAGAGACTCTTCAAAGATCATGATGTTCAACATCTTTATGCTCAGAATGAAACCAAAGCAGCAATTGCCGAGCGGGTCATCAAAACCATGAAGACAAGGATATATCGTTTTATTACTTACCAAAAGTCGTATGCATATATTGAAAAACTTCAAACTTTTGTCAAAAGCTACAATAGCACATATCACCGAACTATCGGTATGACTCCTAAAATTGTCAACAGTGGAAATGAAACAGCTGTGTGGTGGAAAATGTATTGGCCAAAGGATCACACAGTTATTAAAAAGACGAAGACTGTAAGAAAACCTTTTAGATTTAAAATCGGTGACCACGTTCGACTTACCCATCTCAGGAATCCATTTTCTCTCGAATATGACGAAAGGTGGACGGGTGAAATATTTATCATTTCTCAGAGGATTTTACGTGGTGGTTTACCTGTCTACAGAGTAGAGGATTTTGACGGAGATGAAATCAAAGGATCTTTTTATCAATCAGAACTTCAAAGAGTGGATGTGAAAGACGATGATCTATGGAAAGTTGAAAAAATATTAAAGACTAGAGGAAAGGGGAATAACAAACAATATTTCGTCAAATGGTTTTATTATCCAAAGAAATTTAATTCTTGGATCAAGGCGTCTGATGTTTCAAATCTATGATATAGGAGAGTGCACTACCCTGGACAGGTCAAACATCAGATTCCATCTTTTCAGAAAGAGCGTACATAAACACAGATCGCTTCAGTATGATATGATGGATGGTAGACGACTCTCATAGTGTAAATAAATGTATTGTACATTATAGACTAGGCTGTAGGTCATTGTAAAATGGACATGGGATGGCTCTCCAACCCATGCTTCATAATTGTAACGGGGAAAATAAAAATCTAATTAAAAAATAAATGTTGTCTCTTGTCACTGATTCAAATTTTGTTAGTGCAACTCCCGATTGTGTTTGAATCAATTATTGTTGTAAGCGAGGACTATCTATAACACCTTTGTTGGCGAGGACTATCTATAACACCTTTGTTGGCTACTCTATGATATAGGGAGACTAATTCAAATGATTCTTTTTGGAAAAATAATATCATTAATGAAAATGGTTACATAATGTCATAAAAGCCTTAACTCTTTGAAAGTTACTCTAAAGTTAGTTGAATTGAATCTGTGTTAGAATCGAATGCGTTTGAAACATTTTGAGATTACTAGTGTGTATAATTATATAATTAATTTAATTGACACTCCGACTACACATGACAGAATCATATCGTTTCAAAAATTATGTAATTAATAATCAAAATATAATTAATTTTAATTAATATTTCATAATTAATTTGTTAATTAAATTCATTAGATGACGTCATGGGTATCCTCACACGCTGGGAGGATACCAGGAGGATCCTCCATAGTAACTCTATGGGAGGACACTGGTCCAGAACCCTGGTTTTTTCCCTACTTTAATAAATTATTTAAGTTTGTCAAAAGCTGATGAACTAGTTGATTTTAATCTTTGTAATGAACTAATGTATTTTATGACACAAAGGATATATATTGTATAAATGTTATTTATGAATTGTAGATATTAAATCCATAGCAAGACATATATACTGTATTAGAAATATATTAAAGATGGATTCGTACCCATAGTTTGGTACATTGTATGTAGCTATATGTATACGGTAAATATTTATTATCCACTATATGAAGTGAATATATAAAGAGAAATATCGATTGTCAAGAGATATAACTCATTGACTTGTGTCAATATTTATTATTTTATGACCTAATTAATATGTAGTAATTATCTGATTTTATGATGACAACAGATTCTGCTGTTATATGTGATATCAAATTTAGTTAATGAATTTTTTATTGTTTTGCAGAATCTGGTACTAGTATATAATCCTTGTAATAAACGGCACCACTCTGAAACCATCTTGTGTTAATTGCTGCTCCGCTACAGTTGATCCCCAACTGTAGCCTCAGCTTTAAACCTCGAGCCAAGATTTTGGATCGAGTCAACACTGCATGGGAGTGTACGCGCGCATTGTAATTTTACTAATATTGACTCGATCGTCTTTGAATGACAAAAAGTCCTGAAAGATTCTTTCAATATTTGCTGTTCCATCCCTAACTTGAAGGAGGTACCCGCGTCAGCATATCTGAATCTACATTGGATTACTGTAAACATATATTTTGTATATAAAATGAAATATTTATAGAAAAATTGTCGCCCTCGAAAATGAAGCAAATTCAATAATTACATAGTTATATCTTTTAGAACAATTTTATCTGGGCGAACTTATAACGAGGTAAAATTGTTTGCACATATAATAGGGCAAAACTAATACGGGGCGAAAATAACAAATATATTAATCTGTACATACAGTATTAATAAGATTTTCTATGACCTGTAATTATCATACTCTGCTTTTCCCTTTGTATTTTGTAAAATTTCCACTCAATATTGTTGGCCCAACCTTGCTCCAGATCGAGCAGATCTAAACGTACAACGTATAAAAATACCTGCCAATCAATATGTTTTGTGGTCATTCTCTTCTTGAGAAGACGATTTAAACAAAAAAAAATCCGAGGTATAATGATGAATTTTTACATCCTTTGTGCCCTCACCACTAGGAAACTTATGTGAACAAAACCAACACTACATGAAGTTGCTTCAGTAATATTGTACATAGCCCTGCTGTGGTTAGTAAACAAATTTCTAAAGAGGTTTTCCTGATATGTTCATTTATATTCGTCCACTTTTCCCGTTCTCTGGACTATGATATTGACAAATTTGAATCTACATTATACATGAAATTAAAACATAATTGTGCTTACAGACTATACAATCCCTTCGAGGGGTCAAATTTTCTAGGATTGAGAATAAAATATTGGTTCGGGGGATTTCTTCTTCGTGGATGAAGAAGATACACGATACTGTTATATAAAATTTTAGCATTTCGGGGGGGGGGGGGGGGGGGGGGGGGGGGCTGTATTCGAGGCTCCGTCATACCACGAAAACAAGGAAAATTTAACTTCCACGAAAATAAGTGATTTCACAGAATCTCAAGGATCAAATCAGAAAGGTTAGAGTCAACATAAAAATTAATGAAAAGATATCGATGCGATTGGTCCTTTTGTTTTAATTTTCTTCATTTTTAGACCATTGATCTATGGGGCAGTATACATAGATATCTTATATTGCCAATAGAAAATTGTCAGTGAAACGATTAATAAATTAACAACTTTGTTTTGTCGGTTATTAAATCTTCAAAGTCTTGATGAGATTTTTTTTAACTAAAATGTCCAAAGAACAAATAAAGAATAGAACACAGGTTAAAACAAACAAGATCACATTTTTATTTGCTTAAAAAAATACATAAAATAGTTCAGTAAATGGATTCAACAGATATACAGTATCCAAGAGATTTTAAAAAAATAAAATGAAATACTTCACTCAAGAAAATTAAAATCATCTGACACATACACCCATAATACCACCCATTATGAGCTGCACAAATATTTATTCTTCTTTTCAACAGTAGCAGAAATAAGGGGAGCTAGGAGGGAAAACTCTCATACAACAGATACAACATGTATTAAATTTCCTCCTCCCACTAACAACAAAACTGACATAGTTATAGTAGTGCATCACTCCATAAGAATAGGAAATCTAGTTGCAGTGTGCAGAATTTGATGATATTAACCAATCATCTTACAACATATAGAGGGAAACATAACAACTTAAAAATATTACAGAATATTTATTTACAAAACGAAAAATACTACCTTTATTTATATATCGTCTACATTTATAAAAATAATACTGATTTGTCCTGAACATTGAGACTTTGAGCTTTTTTATGCACACTCAAATCATTTTCACTTCCCAGAGAGACGACATGAAAGTCACAAGGCAGTTTCAATAAAAGTACCTTTAACGCAATGAAAATTTACAATGGCCTGTGTAGAATACATATGTGGGCCAATTTTAAGGACCCTAAACCAGTAATCAATACACTTAACATATATAACACCAGATATAATAGATAAGGAAGAAAAATAGCTTTCTGGGAAAATTCAATTAAAAAAAAAGTTTCTTGTATCCACAATGGCCAGCTCCTTAATGTGGCCAACTTATCAACGTAGCTTAACTACTATGCATTATTCAATACTTAAGGTAAACATTGAGCTTCCAAAAAACAATAAAGAATGAACAGTCTGATATGTGACGTCTTTCTTATTAACTGTTTACTGGACTTTACTCTCCAGCACCTCCTCCAGTTTGTTGATCTGGTTGAATGGATTACAAGGAGGAACAGTGGTCACCATCTTAGACATCTGAGACTCCCGCTTGTGGTTTGAGTTATTGGGGGATATTGGCATTGATCTAAAAATAGAGAACTGAGAGTGAGGCTTTGACCCACAAAATACAGAGAATTGAGAGTGAGGCTTTGACCCCAAAATACACAAAGTATTGAGAGAGAGGCTTTGACCAACTGTTGGAGTGGTGCTCTGAGCATTAATTACTTATGAACTATTAAAGTGATGCTTTGAGCATGAACTACTTACTTATGAACTGCTGAACTGATTAATTACTTATGAACTGTTGGAGTTGTGCTCTGAGCATTAATTACTTACTTATGAACTGCTGAAGTGGTGCAGCATTAATTACTTACTTATGAACCGTTGAAGTGGTGCTCTGAGCATTAATTACTTTCATAGAATGAGCTGGAGCATAGACTCCCTGCCACAAAGTACAGCCCTGATAGCCTGGGATGTTTGGCCGACTGAAAAGAAATCAAAGAATTCAATAAGAATGGAAAGTTAAATTTGTGCATTATAATTGATGTAAAACTAGTTCATAAGGAATTCCTTGGGACATAAATATTTTAGTTATTTATAATGTAAGTTATTTATAATGTATTTCTTTATAATTATCCATACCAGGAAGTTCTAGGATATGAGGGATTGGAAGTGATATATAATTTCCATATAACCAAGATTTTTTAAAATCTCAGTTACTTATATTATTGGATTTTTTTGTAATGCAATTCAAAGTTCTAAAGAGGAAGACACATGAAGATCTTGACATAATTTTCGTAGAATTTTATTTTTCAAGAAACATATGCTTTTTAGTTATCTATAGAACTTTATTTTGTGGAAATCTTGTCTATTTTGTGATGAACAATTAGGCTCCAGGGCCATAAAACTTAGATGAGATCAATTTTGATCTCAGTGTCACTTTTCCAATAAATATAATTCCTTTTTTGAAAGTGAGACTGAGATCAAAAGTTAGAACTCATATGCATCTAAGTTTTATAGCCCTGGAGCCTGGTTATTAGAATCAACAGTTCAGCTCATCTAAGTTTTATGGCCCCGGAGCCAGGTCATTAGAATCAACAGTTTAGCTCATCTTAGTTTTATGGCCCCGGAGCCAGGTCATTAGAATCAACAGTTCAGCTCATCTTAGTTTTATGGCCCCGGAGCCAGGTCATTAGAATCAACAGTTTAGCTCATCTAAGTTTTATGGCCCCGGAGCCAGGTCATTAGAATCAACAGCTCTGCTCATCTAAGTTTTATGGCCCCAGAGCCAGGTCATTAGAATCAACAGCTCTGCTCATCTAAGTTTTATGGCCCCGGAGCCAGGTCATTAGAATCAACAGCTCTGCTCATCTAAGTTTTATGGCCCCGGAGCCAGGTCATTAGAATCAACAGTTCAGATCATCTAAGTTTTATGGCCCCGGAGCCAGGTCGTTATAATCAATAGTGCAGCTGTACTTACTGCCCTGTCTCGCTGTATCTAGGAATGTTCACTCTCTTGATGGTATAGGGATTGAAAGGTTCTCTGGCATTGTCTTTCTCATCTAAGTTATCTGCTCCTACACAACCACTGAAATAAAAATGTGTGAGTAAAGATGCATAGGTATTTGAAAAAAAAAGATGAGCTTTTTAACAATTTTTTTTTCAGGCCAGGGGAATATACAAAAGGAATCTTTGCAACAGATTTTTTATGTATTCACATGTATAAATACTTGCATATCATGATGCAAGGTCTAAGCTGCATTAGATTATATGTTGTTGTTTAAATTACTAACCTGCAATTTGGTATATCTTAGTATATATTGTGAAACTAACTTACATGTACATGTAACTTGTTAATTATTAAGTATGTGTTGTATACATGTATAAGTAACTTAATTATCATTAATTTAGAATATGCAATTAGATTACATTTTGTAAATATCTTACCTGTAATTAGGTATATGTTGTGTTCTAGGACAAGGGCTAGAGCTAAAGAGAAACACAAAATGACATGTATACAAAATTTTTTATCAGCATTGGTTTGGAAGATAACATGTTGTTTGGTACATGTAAGATCATACTCACAAATTGATTGGTCCGTCTTTATAATAACCACGCCTCCTTTGAAACCAATCCCAAGACCTTCCAGTTCCCTATAAAAGACCATTGAACAGATGTTTTATATATCTGCCAGTCTGTATAGATACTTGTACAGTGTATATAAATATTTCCACACATTTTGTTTTTCATTCCTGATCGCGTGAATGGGTCTAAACTCTCTTTTATTTACATTACATATAACTTAATAACAGCCACTCCTGAGCTGCGGGGTCGTACTGTATTAGGGATATTTTCGCCTTGTGTTATTTTCACCCTTTCACACTTGCAAACAATTTTGCCCCATTTAAAAATCATCCAGTCACAATTCTGTTTAAGAAATTATATATTGTGTTCTTTGAATTCGTCCCGTTTAAAATTCGCCCATTTGAGAGTAGGGAAGGGGCGTATCTTTTGTTTACGTTACGTGTAACTTACCTACCATTCCTGAGCTATGGGGTCGTATCTTTTGTTTACGTTACATGTAACTTACCTGTCACTTCTGAGCCGCGGGTTCGTATCTTTTGGTTACGTTACGTGTAACTTACCTACCATTCCTGAGCTGTGGGGTCGTATCTTTTGTTAACGTTACATGTAAGTGATGTAACTCACCTGCCATTCCTGAGCCGCGGGTTCGTATCTTTTGTTTACGTTACATGTAACTCACCTGCCATTCCTGAGCCGCGGGGTCGTATCTTTTGAGGGTGTAGGTCTGTGATATCATGTCCGGCCTCTCCTCCAGGGTACTGACAGGTGCCCATTGTTTGGGGGGAAGCATATTGTCCCACGGTACCTCCTCGTATGACCTGAATAGAAAATGAATAGAGATTTATAGTATACTGTACGTGTACAGAAATTGGCGTATTCAAAATTTAGAGCACTTACTGGGTATGGAGTTGTTGGCGAAATCATGAATTAGCGCTATACATATCCATGCCGTTTATTGTATTTATAAATGATTTCTTAGCGGTATTCATGAATTAGCGCATCGTTGTGTGCGCCAAAGCGGCTAAAATATGAAGCCCACTTTTTAAGTACACATACAGTACATGTATGTTAAATCAAGATTAATAAATCTAAAAAAAAAATACTTTCTCGTATGACCTGAATAGAAAATGAATAAATTAAGGTATAGATATTTCATTTAATGTAGAATTCAAATGAATGACTTTCTCAATATCTCACAGGATATGTGATTTTGTTGGTCAAAATAGAAACAAAAGTTTATTGATAGATAAATGATAACTGTCAATATTTATTATTTTAGCATAAAATGACTTTATATGACTCATTATGGACTAAAGAGGTATTAAGTTCTAACAGAAACACATTGATTTTAATTGTGTCACTTGAAAACCACACGTTTTCATTGTATTTTTCTGTATCAGTGTTTACATGTAGATTGTACAGGTGTTCTGTGATATTTTTAGACTCTTGTTTTTTCCTTGATTGATCCAAATAAAAAAGTTCATCAACTTGAAAATTAGTAAATCAGGATCGGTAGCTAAATACTTGTAAAACATAGATGACTTACTTCTGTGTGGAGGCGCCGTACATAAATTTCAGGGCGAGGTGATCTCTTCCCTCCCTGCTCTGTTCTGACGGGGGCTTAGGGACAAACGCTGACTGAAAAACAAAGACGATGTAAAGAAAATTAATGGAAAAAGAAATTATGCTTACCTTAAATAAATTTTTCTGTATATTGATAATTAATGACCATTTTCTAACAGAAGACATGAAATAAAAATGAAATTGAGGTAAATTTAATAAACGATACGTTGCATGAGAGAAATTACACCCACCCACCCCCCATCCCGTGAAACAAAAATTCCTAAATTCCTTTTTAGGTATTATTTATTTTTATTTCACAAATTCATACCAAAGCCTTAAAATGTACTATTTTCCATGCATATTTGAAAATCTGGTGATGTTTTAAAGCCTTTTTCCAATGGATACAATTTTCTACCCCCTTTATGAAAAGAGCTGTATAAAAGAGTAATTAACATTTTGACGCTCGTTTTAGAATTATTATTAATGAACTCTTTTTTTGCATTCAACAAGTTTTAATGACCAAAATTCCATTTATACTGGTGCAATTTTTTTTTTACCAAAAACAAAAAACAAAAAAATTTAAAAATTTAATTAAAGATAAGCCAAATGTGTTTGAAGTGACCCAATCACAAAAAGCTGTGTGTTTTCCCCATGCGTCAGTCTTAATAAAACTTTGACAACATTTCTGTCCTGTACATTTTAACGCTGAACGTTACAGAAAATAAAGCACCCAGTACAGTGACCCACGATGTTGTGTCCTCTCCCTTCTCTCAATTTTGTCCTATAAAGGTGGGTTGATTCTCTGTTCTGGTGCTGTTTCAATTTCACAAGAACACAAAGAGGGTGGGATGGGAACACCCCCCCCCCTTATTATGTTAAAGGTTCCAGTTACGTTAGCTGTGATCTTGATGGGAAATCGGAGGTGGGGGGGGGGGTCATGAAAAAACATGTTAGCACTGATGTTAGATTCGAGATAACTCTTTTAATTATTTATTTATTTTAGCATTGATGTTAGATTACATGATGAAAATTTTGATTTATTTTTTTTTTTCAAAATTATTTCAGAAGTATAATACTGCTTAAAATTTAAACTTTTGCTGATTCAAAAATATATCTTGGCTTTCTGGCACGAGACATTTCTTAGATTTTATTTAATTAATCCGATGTGCGATTAGAGTTAGACATAAAAAAAAAGTGTGTCAGTCATTTGCTGCATCATGGGAGGACAAACATAGTACTAGTGTGAACAATTTAAAATTCTTGTGTTTAAAAAAAGTACCTTATTGAAACTTCCATCCTGTCAAGGTATCAAAATAACATTATACAGTGCAGGAAACTAATTTTGTTACAGCATCAATGCTGATTTGAATGCTTCCTTTGCTTGCTGATTTGAATGCTTCCTTTGCTTGCTGATTTAATGCTTGTAATCCTTATCCTGATGCTGTTTTATAATTAGGTCAATGCTACCGGAAGTAGCATCATGCTACCGGAAGTAGATAATCAATTTCAGCATTGCCGTTTAAAGCAATAAAAGTGCCTTTTACAATTATTTGATCATAATATCTCACTATGTATCAGTAATGTGAATACTTTAACCAATATTCCTTCTTTCTTTTTTAATTTTTTACTGAATTAAAACTCATTGATTTTCTGATGCTAGTAGGATAATGCTGATTTTATGTAGGTCAATGCTGGTTTTATCCTTTGCTTGCTGATGCTGATCCTGGTAATGCTGTTTTTTAAATGCTGATCCTGATGCTAACTCGATCCTGATGCTACTAATGCTTATGCTGATGCTGGTTTATGTAACAAAATTAGTTCCCTGCACTGTAATATTTATTTGCAATATGGATTTTGCCAATATTTAGATTTTAAATAACATGTTTTTAAATAACACGAAGAATTAATCATCTTTTAAAAATCTTGCAATTTTTTTATTGCATTATCCACGTGTTTGATTATCCCCTCTCTTTAATCTATACAGCAGTATGTACGATAAAGTTGATAATTATACGTCTATATGTACAATAATGACCCACTCGGCACACCTCGGCCGATTCGTACCTCTTGATGAAGATAACGGAATCAGCCGAGGTTTGTCGAATGAATAATTACCCTCGTAACGATCTTATTTTTTTTTTATTTATTTATTATTTTTATAATTTTTTTTGTCGATGGGTTTACCTTTGACCTCCATTTTGTCGTTTCCGGGGGGTCCTTACGGGGGTCATAATCACTAGTCCACCCTGAAAGACAAAGTATTGTACAAATTATATAAATTATACATGTCGCTTATCTACAGTACTATATTGATATAATATTTTGACATTCACTAAAAAATGTCTGCTAACTTCATAGTCAATGTTATATATATTTTTTAAAATGTACATGTATACAGCTTTTATGTGTTTAAACAAATGATACATATACATGTATCTACAAAACAGTTGTTTTTCTATTCGTTTCGTTGAATGTTGAATACATGTATTTACATTAGAGTTTTAATTAATTGCAAATAAGAATATGTTCAATCGATAGAAGAAAAAAAAAGCTGCCATAGTCTCAATTCTACATGCCGTGGAAGCAGATGAAGGAATTTATTGAGTTTGGTCGTCCGTTAAATACCTATGACAATATACCCTTTAGTTATTTATGCAGATAAACAAGACCTTTAAATGTTTTTTTGTTTGTAAAACAATGAACGTCTTGTTAAATTTAGACAGGTCGATTACAACGAATCCGATCATATGTCCGAATTGTTTGATTAGCGCAAAAAGTTTTCAAAAGGATAAAATTTCTGACAAAATATCGATCACAGAATGTTGCCCCAGATATAAAGAATTGTCCCATTAATGTATTAGATTTATTTTTAAATATACCATGTAATTAAAATAGCAAAGTGCTAAAAAGAATATTAGGTGTTTAAATTACTCATTTGATTTTTTTTCAAATATATGTATGTATACTTATATACATGTATAACGATTTGAAAAAAAATGACATTCTTCTTTTGGAATGACATTTAAACTTCAAGTTTATCATTAAATTATATTTCAAAATTATGTCTAGTGTACACATACCGGTATACTTGAGAAATAAATTATACATTTTCTATATCTTAAGTACATTTTGATTTTAAAAAAGAAGAAAAAACCATTTTATTGGAACTTTTTAAATAAAGGTAGAGTATATAACTGTAATTGAGCACTTGGACATCTGATGTTTTGGTGAATTTACTATTTCACACTGACTTCTTCAACAACAACAAAAAATCTGTGAAGTTTGGGGAAATGTTATAGTTTATAGTTTTAAATTCTATGAATTCTAAAACTTTAATGTAACACCTATACCCCATTGCAGCCAAAGAGGGGAAGACAGATCGCCACCTCCCCTCCCCCCCCCCCCCCCCCAAACCAACCACCTTTAGCGAACCACAGTCTCTCTTAATTTTTATTTATGAAAATTACCAGAATAATACATATAGCTTTATTCCAATGTATTATCTGATAATCTAGGATAAGCCTTTCAGGTGATTGCTGAACCGATTATGTTTTACCTTTAAATTTCAATTTCACTAATGACTGCCTATAGTATGGTAATTAATTGAAAGCCTATATACCCCACGGAATAGAAACAGTTCTGTTCTGTATATCCAGGTCTAAGTATACAGGTAGATATACAAGTAGATATGTCCCTGTACTTATGTAGATACTTTCCAGTAGAATACACGGAAGAGAAGTTTACCTTCGCTAATTAACGTGTTGAATTTCGTTTACCTTGATTGCTAAATTTATCGATCTTTCAGTAATCAATAATACGTCAAATGCTTATGTTTAATACACCTAAATTTAATTTAACATTGGAAACAAGGGGTGGACACTGCACTTCCAAGGAGAGATGGGGCGGGGGGGGGGGGGGGGGGCACGGGTGCTTGTGGACAGCCCCCCTTCCTCTTGTTTTAATACCTATACTGTATATAGACCCTTTTTTTAAAAATCATTTTGTTTCATAAATAGTTCTCCTAGCACATGTATTCAATTTGAAAAATCACAAAATAATAAATAATAATAATAATTATGATAATTGTCCTAGAATAAATGTTTGACTGGATTTCATACTCGCGATATAATAAAATTTAACAAGTTTAGATAGAAAAAGCTGTTTCTAATGCAACATACGCTTAAAGGGTTCTATAATGCAATGCATATATACATGTACTTATAGTGTCATGTACTTTTAACATTTCAGATAGAGACCTCATTTACTTTTTTGCCCTGCATACAAAGAAGAGAAAGGGTGTACATGTATACTGTACATAAAAAAATATTTTATGAATAAATAAATTACTTTTCCGTAATTTGGAGTTCTCTTATTTTTATGCTGAAAATTCCATAAAAATCTACTCAGTAGCTTTCCTCTCTGGCACCTGTAGATTTATTCATTTGTGTCTGTTTCGCTTAATATTTGAGTACAAAGTACAGTACATGTGTACAAATGTATCTGATCAAAATATCATATTTATACGTAATAGTATATGAATAATTAAGTTATCTATTAATATTTAATATAGATATTTTCTTGAAATATATGCCATACGAAATGTTCATGCAGTTTTGCATTTTGTAGAAGTATTACAACAACAACAACAACAACAACATAAATAAATAAATAAATAAATAAATAAATAAATAAATAAACTGTAAGAGGTACCGCTTGGCACAATAAACATGCAACAAGCAACACATATACATGCATGTATATGCATTTTAAAAAGAACATTAAACACATTGTTATAATTTTTTAAACTAGAAAAAAATCTTAATATACCTCCTAGTTGAGATTTTATCCATTCATCGGAGGTTTTCCTACTGTTCCAGAAAGATGGAGCTCCGGGTTCATACGTATTAGAGCGTCGTAACTCCGGAGGGGCTTTCTCAAAAGTTTTCCTGTCCGAGTTCTTACTTTGTGGAGGGGCGCATTGCGGGACATCGTTAAGCTGGGCTAGGGGTTTGATTTTCTTATGTCCTGTACCCCTGTCGACATCCCCTCCCGCCGATACAAAACCAGACACGGGGTCAACAATATTATCATAGTCCCTATAAGGCGCATTGGACCGGAAGTCGCCCTCATCATTCCAGCGTTTGAATCCGATATCTTTGGCGGGGAAATCTTTAAAGGAGTCAACATCAGCCCTCCCAGTCAGGGTGGGGAATTTCATCTGTCGGATCCGCCTATGGTTTACTATCTGTTGCACGGTATTCCCACCAGCATTTGAGTCTACTTGTAAATAAGACTGGAATGGTGGACGGGTTTTAAAATTTGAGTCGGCCAAGACAGGCCCTTCAACTATTGCTGTGGCCATTTTCACTTTTTATTATCCAGTAGTATGAAAGTTTAGAGTGATTATCACAAAATCTATAGGTTTAAAGTTCTACACGTCCGACATATTGTAAACTACCGTGTTACCCGTGGATACTCCGGAAACTTCCATATATGGACGAAACCGGAAGATGCAGGTGCCCGTTCAGAGATCGTTTAAATCCGTCATGCAAAGTTACTGAAAATTTCAATACATATAAAAATTGATATATTTTTAAGTTAAATTTTTTGTGTAACATTCTTATTATAATGGAGAAGAAGTATTAAATTGTGTGATGAAAAGGACACGCGTTCATTTATCAAGATAAGGTCTACGAGAAATATTTCGATTTCAATATTATGATGAATACTATAATGAATATAATTCATCAGTGTTTTTTTTTCTTAAGTTTATGGATGGATTATCTTTTTTAATGTTTGACCAGAAATATCTTAAAAATCTTTTGAGGTGAAGAATTTCAAGCAAAAAGCTAAGTTCATTTTTCATAAAATCTCGACTATTTCTGTGTACGACTTTGTCGATAAACAAAAATGGCAGCTAAGAAGAGGCACCAAAATCAAAACTCGAGTGCAAACACAGAATCAAGCAATTCCACGCGAAAGAAAACCACAAAAAGGAATGACAGTAAAGGAGAACGTGGAAAATCAGGCGATGTTTTATATAAATTATTCATTGCTGCTTTAGGTACGTGTTTTTTCATCTCATCATAGACTTTGTACACGTAATCCATTTTATAAACAAAGCTGGCTTAATGTAACTTCCTGTGAGGGACTGTTAGTATTACTTAAATAGTCAGTTCGGGAAAATCCTGCAGCATTTTGTTGATTTTATTATTTTTTGTTAAAACAAGAAAACAAAATAAAGTATAAAAATTGGGAAATTTTAAAATTTTCCGAAAGTATTTTTTTTTTTATCATTTTTTTCATTTCTAAGACAACAAGCATTTACATGGTTTTTTTTTAACTGGAACTTTCCAATTTTGTCACTTTATTGGTTTAATTTTTTAGAAATAGAATTATTTCATCTATAGATGTATAGATATTAGATAGAACATTCCATTGTAAAAATGATATTGTCCTATGGACCTGGTTTAACGATAGAATTCATCCTGTGCATTGACAATGTAGCAGAATAAACACGGGCGATAACTCTGATTCAGTGATTTTACTACTAACAATCCAGAGAGTTCGGAATGTCAAAATAGCATGTAAACTCAAAGCGAGAAAAAAAAATTGAGAAAATGAGTTGTATTTTTGTTTTTATACGGAATTAAGATTAAAAGGTATGTGCAATCTCCAAATGGTTTGTTATGATTAATTTGGTAGTTATTTTTGGCACAACTCCTTTTGTTTTCTTCAAAATCATTTTGGAGAGGATACGCTCTGATTTGCTACATTGCAAGTATATGGGACTTATTCTAACTGTGGTGAGGGCTTGTCTCTAGGCACAGTTAGATTATTCTAACTAATAGACGTAATGCTTGAAAACAGATGGTTAAAAGTTTTGTTAATTAATTTTCCTCTTCATTTACAGCCATCTCTGTAGGATATATGCATAGGTTTGTATCTTATTGTCATCACTGTTTTTAAGATTCTCAAACTTCAGATATTTTATTCTAAACAAAGAAAAAAAATTCATAAGTTTAGTCTTGTTTTAATTTTCAATGTAACTCTAAGCCTATTTTCAACACACAGTATACAAGAGGGAAAATATTTATTATGTATTAATTATTAAAATTTGATAATATTTTTGTAATTAAACTTCTTAATTTCCTTTGTAGGAACCATGTGTATGGAATGTTTGAAAGGGATAAACATTTTTCACATCTGTCAAACCTGGAAAGGGAGTTATCATTTAGAACAGAGATGGTAGGATTGTAATGAATTGTGCATGTACAATAGGCTTAAGCATCGCGGGTATTGTCATGATACGATACGTAACATGATACTACGACATGATACAACTGTGTATCATGATACAATTGAATATACAATTTAAAGCAGAAAATTGTTTCTTTTGTTCTGTATAATGACATAATAAAGGTATAACAGTATAACATCAAGTGTATAATAGTAATTTATTGTATATTTTGGTAAAGACCACTTTGATTACTTGATCACTTACTATAGGAATTCCTTCACGCTCATTTCGGATGCCATTTTGTTTTGATTTTTTAAAATGTTATTGTAAAGTAAAAAACCACTTCCGGTATCACTATTCCGGAATGATGATACGATATGCATATTGTTGAAACACATGATCGTTATATATACATTATTATAACAGTAACTTGATCCGAAGAGTCGTATCACGTCGAGTTGACAGGCGCGGATCTGATGATCCGCGCCTGTCAACGAGACGTGATACGGCTCTTCGGATCAAGTTACTGTTATAATGATAAATTTATTATTCATTATATACCTCCCTTACAACTAGCAAAATATAGTTTTAAAAAAAACTTTTGAGATCAATTATATAAGATTTTCCATTAAACAAAGCATTTTGTCAATGAAAAATAATGTCATGTTTCTGTGTACTACGTCATCAATTTCAGAGAGGGGTGATATGGATTCAGAAAACCACAGTGTGGTGATCCGGAAAGTCGGATCACACCTTCACGTGATTGTACGAAATCTACAGTAAAATTGAGTGATACACACTTGGGTATATAATAAATCACTGTATCGTACAATTCTAATGTACAAAGTCACAACTACATGTCTGAGACAATGGCCGTAAGATACCACAATTTCTCCAATAAGCAGCAAATACACTCAGACAAATGAATGGTTTTGGGGATGCATATTACTGTTTGCAGTGAAATTTTTGGCCCTTCTTAGCTCACATGAGCCTAAGCCTCAAATGAGTTTTTCTGATCGAAATTTATCCATTGTATGTGTCAGTGTTTTCTTAAACTGCTCACATTTTTATCTTCTTCTCTTGAAACACGGGGCCAAATTTGACTAAAATGTGGCATATCCTTGGGTAAAGGGGATCAAGTTTTTCAAATGAAGGGGCTGACCCTCTTCCATGGCAGATAATTCAGAAATAGTGAAAATTTAGTGTGATCATTTCAAAATCTTTTTCTTAAGAGAACAGCAGAGTCATAATAACTCAGGTGAGCAATGTGACCAGTGAGCCTGTTGATATTTTACCCCTGTTGCAAGTGGATGAAATTAAAATGGGAAAATTCAAAATAAAAGTAGATATCTCCTTTAAGCCCAGCAATTTTAAAGGAAACAAAACTTTGCAAGTGCAAAAAGACAAAAATATCTCTGTATACAGTAAATCTGTTTTTAAGTACATAAATTGTATTTTAAAGGCAAAGTTTACATTCAAATTCAAATGGTGTATTGTTCTTAAACCTTGTAGTCTATCAAGAAATGAATGATGGAAACTATTATCAGAGTTACCTCTCTTTGCTAATGACTCCATATCGACTGTTTCACAGTACTGCTCCTTTGCAGGACAAATTGATATATTTTGGTGAAATATGACAAAATAGCAATTTTTTGATAAAACTTCACTAAATTATATAAATTTGCCTTGCAAAAGAGCAGTACTGCAGTTACCGTGTAAGGACTAATTATGCTCTGTAATCCGTTTTCACTGGAGAACAGGCATTCAGGCAGTTTAACTGGAAACTGTCAAACAATATAAATTCAAGGACAGATATGTATATTTAGTTTATGAATAGTTCAATCTCCTTTCTTTGTAGGGTCTTTATTTTTCCTACTTCAAGACCATCATTGAAGCTCCCTCATTCCTGGACGGGTTGAATGAAATAATGTACGACAACATCACAGAATATCCAGATACAATCAATGTCCTAAAGAGGTTCAACCTTTATCCAGAGGTGAGGAATAATAACAAAGTGTGACCAATCACAGAACATGTAACTGAGCCAATAGCCAATCACAGAACATGTACCTTAACAAATCACATAACATGTTTATGATCCAATCACAGAAAATGTGTCTTAACAAATCACAGAATGTGTCTAAACCAGAACCAATCACAGAATGTGTATCTGAACCAATGACAGAATCTGTGTCTGAACCTGAACCAATCATAGTGTCTTATACATGTAGTACTACCACTGTCTAACAAATCACAGAATCTGTGTCTGAACCTGAACCAATCATAGTGTCTTATACATGCAGTACTAATACTGTATAATGAATAACAGAATGTGTGTTGACCATCTTCCCAAGTCAAGAGTTTCTGATCCACTCCGCACCACAAAAACCCTTGACCAAATAGACCGAGTTTGACAGGGTTAGATATGCGCTCTCTGATTGGCCTCATAAAATTTGCATCAGCCAATCAAAAACATTGTTTTATTTAACCTGAAAATAAACTGTAAACAGAAAAATATGCCAGTTTTAGTCCCAACAAAAATTTCTTTACCAGTAAATAACCCAGTTAAAAGCGTGTGGCAGCTTTTGAGGTAAAGTTATGTTGAATTTACTACCAACTTCCAATGTTGATTCTCATTCTCGGTTTAATTCGCTTACTATGAATGGTCAATAGCAGAGTTCAGTATAAAGTTCAAAATATGTATTCTCACTAGACGGCAGGATACCCCGTCTAACTTAGTCTATTCAGTCAAGGGTTTATGTTGAGCAGAATGGATTGGAAACCCTTGACTTGGGAAGGTGCGTCTTCGTATAACAACCAATTGTAACCAATCACAGAGCATTAAGGACGCAAAGGGAATTCTAAGGGCCTTGCTTGCTCTTTTAATCTGTATTTTAGTCCTCATGCAAATGATTCGAACCACATGCTTATATTTTGCATATACAGTCAAACCTTGTTATCTTGAACTCGATGGGGCCAAAATATAACTTCAATATATTCAAGGATTTGAAAAATACGGAAGCCCATTTAGGACCTATTAAAAAATATTTTAGAATTCGATATAACGAATTGTTGAATTTGTTATAACAAATTCAATTCATTATAACACTTTATTTGAATTCGTTATAACGAATTTAATCTGTTATAACAAATTTGTTGAATTCATTATAACTAATTCAAAAATTGGTTATAACGAATTAAATTCATTTAAACAAATTCTAAAATTTGTTATAACAAATTAAATTCGTTTAAACGAATTCTAAAATTTGTTATAACAAATTAAATTCGTTTGAATGAATTAAATTCGTTTAATCAAATTCAACAATCAGGGCCTGTAGAAAAAAAAATACATGAATTCGATATAATGATTTATCGAATTCGTTCTAACAAATTTAATTCGTTATAACAAATTAAAGAATTCATTTTAACGAATTTAATTCGTTATAACAAGTTTTAGAATTCGTTATAACGAATTTAATTCGTTATAACAAAATTTCTCAATTCGTTATAGTGAATTCAACAAATTTGTTATAACAGATTAAATTCGTTATAACGAATTCAAAGAAACTGTTATAACGAATTAAATTCGTTCTAACAAATTTGACAATTCATTATATCGAATTCAAAAATATTTTTTGATAGGTCCTAAATGGGCTTCCGTAGAAAAATGTAAAATGTGTTAAAGCAAATGTGCTTGGGACTACCAACCCACTTCAACATAACCTGGTATTCGAGATATCAGTGTTTGAGATAACAAATTTCAACTGTACGCAAAATTTTTATTATTTCAAGAACTTAAAATCTGATCGCAGTATTAAACTTGACTTTATAGTATATAATACAATAATAAAAAGGAACAAAATGTATTTACAACAACAATTTAATAAAGTATGTCTTTTATACGAGTTTGACTTTCATGTTTTTACCGCTTAAAACCTGCTTCTATCAAGGGAGGGGATTCTTGCAGTCCTTTAATGACCAACAGAAAAATACTCTTCTGTATTAAACTGCATGAAAATTTCTGATAACAACAGTAGCTTTTAGACTGGACAGAATATTGATTGTGGTCTAATTAATTTTCTTACATTTTTAAGGTAGCCCTGGGTATAGGATACCGATGGTACGATTCTGTTATGACATCCTTAAACAAGCCGACCAAAATGTGTTGGACAGTCAACAGAGGAGAGGGAATGTCCCCTGTACAGAGCTGTGAGGGTAGGTAGGGGAACCCTCCTGTTTTTATGTAGAAATTGTCTTCCTTCTCAATGGTTTATATCTATTTTTAGGTCTAGGAGAACCCTCCTATTTTTATATAGAGGTCGTATGCCTTCTCAATGGTTTATATCTATTTTTAGGTCTAGGTGAACCCTCCTATTTTTATGTAGAGGCTGTCTTCCTTCTCTTATATCTATTTTTAGGCCTAGGGGAACCCTCCTATTTTTAGCTCACCTCCACGAAGTCGAGATGAGCTTATGCTATACCCCCGGCGTCGGCGTCGGCTTTAGCGTCGGCGTCCCAGGTTAAAGTTTTAGGAGCAAGTCCCATTCCCAAGTAACTATAAGCCCTACCTGGACCAAACTTGCATGGATGATGCATCTAGGGATGGACACTACCACACTTGCTTCGGATGCTGGATCTGACCTAGATTTTCCAGATGAGTGACCAGGTTAAAGTTTTAGGAGCAGGTCCATTCCCAAGTAACTATAAGCCCTACCTGGATCAAACTTGCATGGATGATGCATCTAGGGATGGACACTACCACACTTGCTTCGGATGCTGGATCTGACCTAGATTTTCTGAATGAGTGACCAGGTTAAAGTTTTAGGAGCAGGTCCATTCCCAAGTAACTATAAGCCCTACCTGGACCAAACTTGCATGGATAATGCATCTAGGGATGGACACTACCACACTTGCTTTGGATGCTGAATCTGACCTAGATTTTCCAGATGAGTGACCAGGTTAAAGTTTTAGGAGCAGGTCCATTCCTAAGTAACTGTAAGCCCTACCTGGACCAAACTTGCATGGATGATGCATCCAGGGATGGACACTACCACACTTGCTTCGGATGCTGGATCTGACCTAGATTTTCCACATGTGAGACCAGGTTTAGATTTAGGAGTAGTCTCGTTCCCAAGAAACTATAAGCCCTACCTGGACCAAACTTTCATGGATGATGCATCTAGGGATGTACACTAACCAACCTGCTTTGAATGCTGGATCTGACCTAGATTTTCCACATGAGTGAATTTTAGCCATATTTTAACCAAATTAGCATGGATGATGTATCTAGGGATGGACACTTCCAGACTTGCCTTGGATTCTGAATCTGACGTACATTTTCCAGATGAGTGACCAGGGTAATTTTTTTGGAGTAGCTATATAATATTATGGCCTGTTATGATTAAACTTGCATAGATGGTGCATCTAAGGATGAAAACTTCCAGACTTGCTTTGGATGTTGGAAATGACCAAAATTTTCTTGATTACTAAACAGGTCAAAAGTTTGAGCAGGTCTATAATTAAATCAAACTTGCATGGATATTGATCTTGGGATGTACCCTAACTAGAAAAAAAATATGATGTGAAATTTGCCTTACATGTAGATAACATTCGTCGAGGTGAGCTTCGTAATCTTTGATTACCTATGTTTATGTAGAGGCTGTCTGTCTTCTCAATGGTTTATATCTATTTTTAGGTCTAGGAGAACCCTCCTATTTTTATGTAGAGGCAGTCTTCCTTCTCTTATATCTATTTTTAGGTCTAGGGGAACCCTCCTATATTTATGTAGAGGCTGTCTGTCTTCTCAATGGTTTATGTCTATTTTTAGGTCTAGGAGAACCCTCCTATTTTTATATAGAGGTCGTATGCCTTCTCAATGGTTTATATCTATTTTTAGGTCTAGGGGAACCCTCCTATTTTTATGTAGAGGCCGTCTTCCTTCTCTTATATCTATTTTTAGGTCTAGGGGAACCCTCCTATTTTTTTGTAGAGCTGTCTTCCTTCTCAGTGGTTTATATCTATTTTTAGGTCTAGGAGAACCCTCCTATTTTTATGTAGAGGCAGTCTTCCTTCTCAATGGTTTTATGATGAGTGTGTTCTTTTTGTTTGGTGTGTATCTGAGGTAGGTAGTCTCCATACCTGTTCAACTACAGAAATGTTAATGAAAAAATTTTATTTTATGCCAATATAAAAACATAATAAATGTTGAGAGGTTTAATTAAAGAAACTATTTATTTTTATGTAAAATAACTCTGATGAAGAATAAATCTGAGTTATCTCCCTTATTGAGTAAACTGAAAACTCGTACATGTATTAAATTATTAAGAGAATGTAATCAAGTTTCTTCTTCAGTGGAAGTGTGTATGGGGGGATTCTGACTGTGGCCTCATTCTTCTACAACCACGGCGAGGTAAGAGTACAAACAAGTAACCATGATAACCTACACATTCAAAGGTCACATGTAATAAATACTGTGTACAGGGTTATTTTTGCCCCATGTTATTTTCGCCCTTTCACACTTGCAAACAATTTTGCCCTGTTTTAAATTTGCCCAGTCATAGTTCTGTTTAAGAAATTATACCGTGTTCTTTGATTTTGCCCTGCTTTAAATTCGCCCATCTTTGTGTAGCACAAAAGGGGTGAAAATTTCACTGTATACAGTAGTTATTGAGAAATAAGTACCAAGTTATATCAAACACTTGAAACAATTTTTTTTTTGTTAACAGTGTACAAGAGTCCAGTGGACCCCACCCTTGAGAGAGAGCTTCGCATATCCATTCCTTATAATAGAGATGTTCCTAGTAACCCATACTCTAAGGTAAAGGCTAGCTTTATGTATCCATTCTTTATAATAAAGATGTTCATAGTAACACATTCTCTAATGTAAGGCTAGTTTTCTGTATCCTTTATTTATAATAGAGATGTTACTCTAAGGTAAGGCTAGCTGTGTGTATCCATTCCTTATAATAGAGATGTTCCTAGTAACACATACTCTAAGGAAAGAAAGAAACACTATAATCAGAATGATTAATGGTCCAGATCTAGACACAAGTAGAAAAAGAACAAAAAGTTATTTCTGTTAATTTTGGCACAAAAACTTAAAGGCAGAGGAGGTCAGTGCTATTGATTTTGAATGATTGTAGATATAGATAGAGTATTATCAGGACCAACACCCTTAGGCATTGTTGACTACCCCATGTTGTTAATGACCATAGATATAAATAGAGTGTTATGAGAGCCGTGTTTCACAACTACCCTCTGTTGTAAATGGTTGGACATCAAGATCTGTACAAACTTCCATACTAATTGTTTTTTTTTTCTCCCCTTAGAATGAAGAAACCCTCCTACCTCCATAGTATAGGGATAGCAATAGCTGTGGTCAGCTTCATGTTGCCGTGGCAGGTCTGTATTGTTAGCTCACCTGAGCCGAAGGCTCAAGTGAGCTTTTCTGATCACATTTTGTCCGTCGTCCATCTGTCCGTCTGTCTGTCTGTCTGTCTGTCCGTCCGTCTTTAAACTTTTCACATTTTTGACTTCTTCTGCAGAACCACTGGACCAATTTCAACCAAACTTGCCACAAAGCATCCTTGGGTAAAGGGGATTCAAGTTTGTTCAAATGAAGGGCCACCCCCTCTTTCAAGGGGAGATAATTAAGAATTAGTGAAAATTTGGTGGTATCTTTTAAAAATCTTCTTCTCAAGAACCAATGGGCTGTAAAAGTTGAAACTTATGTGAGACCTTCATTACATAGTGTAGATTCAAGTTTGTTCAAATCATGACCCCCTGGGGTAGGGTGGGGCCGCAATGGGGGATCAAAGTTTTACATAGGAATATATAGGAATAAATCTTTAAAAATCTTCTCCTCAAGAACAACTAAGCCATGATTAGTCATATTGATATGGAATCATCCTCAGGTAGTGCAGATTCAAGTTTGTTCAAATCATGACCCCCAAGGGTAGGGTGGGGCCACAATGGGGGATCAAAGTTTTACATAGGAACATATAGAAAAAAATCTTGAAAAATCTTCTTCTCAAGAACAACAAAGCCACAATTAGTCATATTGATATGGAATCATCCTCAGGAAGTGCAGATTCAAGTTTGTTCAAATCATGACCCCCAGGGGTAGGGTGGGGCCACAATGGGGAATCAAAGTTTTACATAGGAATATATAGAAAAAAGTCTTGAAAAATCTTCTTCTCAAGAACAACAAAGCCACAATTAGTCATATTGATATGAAATCATCCTCAGGTTGTGCAGATTCAAGTTTGTTCAAATCATGACCCCCAGGGGTAGGGTGGGGCCACAATGGGTGATCAAAGTTTTACATAGGAATATACAGAAAAAAAACTTGAAAAATCTTTTTCTCAAGAACAGCAAAGCTTTGTTAAGTCATATTGATATGGAAGCATCCTCAGGTAGTGTAGATTCAAGTTTGTTCAAATGATGGGGGGGGTCCACAATTGGGGATCAAATTTTTAACAAGGGAATATTTAGGAAAAAAATCTTTAAAAATCTTCTGCTCAAGAACAGCAAAGCCATTTGTTATTTTGATATGGAAGCATCCTCAGGTAGTTCAAAATCCAAGCCCCCTCCCCCCCCCCCCCCCCTTTTAAACTTTTCAATACTGAAGTGATTTGTGCTTTTTCCTAGCCAATGTGCTCAGGTGAGCGAGGTGGCCCATGGGCCTCTTGTTTTAAGTGAATATTTCAAGAATAAAAAAGTGTTATATACAGCGAAAACTTAACATGACTGACAAAAAAAAAATTATAATTAGATAAGTTTGTAAGATAATGGTTTAACTAAGAGTGGAAAGAAAAATCAGGGATATTTGAGTATATTGGATAATACAGTTGAAACAGTATTTGAGACCTTGATCTCACTTTTACCTAGCCTAAGTAATTGACATAAAGACATAATATGACATATCCAAGTTTTACTGTACAGTAAAACACACTTATAGCAAACATGCTTATAATGAATTGATGCTTAGAACAAAGTGATTTTCATACCCCATGAGTTTAAAATATGTTGTAAACTTAACAGATATAACACATTATGCTTATAACGAAGCAAAATCATCCGTCCCTGATACTTCCTTATATGTGTGTTTTACTGTGAAAGGTAGCTATTGTAAATTGGCTTTATTTAGCTACCTCATATATGTGCAAACATATAATTGAAATTTTAGATACTAACATTTACCAATCTAAATGTATGGCATGTTTAAATATTCAGTAAATAACCATCTAAATTTTGTATTTTATTTCAAATACTGTACTTTGATCTTCAATACTAACTTTATGTTCAGGTATTCAGTAAATTACCATGAAAAAGTTTGTAGAGAAATGTTAGCTTTTTCCTCTTATTTGGCAGTTTGCTCAGTTTGCTTTGATGACTCAGGGAGTCGCAGTGTTCTGTACCTATGTCCTTGGCTACATTGGATCACACAAGGTCAAGGTCATATTAACAGGGTTACTGGTAGGTATTACTAGCTGTAAATAACCAATTATCACTTATTTATTATTAAACAGGTTTAAAAAATTAATAGACGCATCAATTGAGTTGTTTGTAAACACAGTAAGTATTTTGTTTGACCAGGATTGACAACTGTGACGTCAGAGCAACGACGCATAATATTGGTGATTAAAATATGCATATTGAGAAATTCAAACTTTGGAAACATGAAAAATACTAATTTTCTAGCAGAAAATTTTAAATGGATGATCTTAAGGCATGTAAACTTTGTCATAGCAAAAGATTCTGAGACATGATAAAAATCCTTTAAGCCATGATTATCAAAGAAATATTTAAGCATCGAGGTTGTTCAAATTATGCCCCCTCCCCCAGAGGAGGTAAGTTGGGACCACTTTTATAATTATTTAAACTTTTCAATGTAGAACTGATTTTTGCTTTTCTTTCGCCAAAATCGAGCAGTGTGGCCCATGGGCCTTTTGTTTATAGTATACTTGTTAGTGATAAAATGAAGCATAGATTAATTATGTTTTAATGATGTTATATTTTTTCCTATAGAGTGGTCTACTGGTCAGTTACATTTACTTAGTTATTTTTGTGATGTTTTACTTAGTTATTTTTGTGATGTTATTTTATGATGCTATTTTTTCCTACAGAGTGGTCTACTGGTCAGTTACGTGCTCCTGTTTGGGAATGAAATGTTGCTGACCTCATTCTTCCTCTCATCTCTTATCAGCATCATTGTGAGTACATGTATTTATATACAGTCAAAAACTCCATTCTACAGCCAATTATATATAGTCAACAACTTCATTCTGTCATGAATTAGATACAGCCAATTATATACAGTCAAAAACTCCATTCTGACATGAATTAGATTTACAGTCAAAACCTCCATTCTGTCATGAATAAGATACAGCCAATGGAATTTGTTAAAGGGTTTTTTCTGTTATTATTATAATGTTATCATTGTTTGTTTGTATGTTGTTTAACGTCCCTCTTGAGAATTTTTCACTCATATGGATGCGCCACCACTTGCTGGTGGAGAGCTGCAAATTTTGTCCTATGCTCGGCACTTACAGCCATTGAGCAGTGAGGGATGTTTATTGTGCCAGCACCTACTGCGACATGGGACCTTGGTTTATACGGTCTTATCCGAAGGACTGGTCTCCACGTCCCACAGTGGGATTCGAAGCCACGACTAAGGATCAACTCCTTACTTTGCGACTCTAGAGCAGACTCTATAACCACTGTGCCATGCGGGCGACATGTTATCATTGAAAAAATAAAAAAAGAAAAACAGGAATAATCCACAATATAAGGCTGTTAAGTTTTCACAATACCAAGCATGTAAATGATTGTTAAAACAAATCAAAATGAATTACTGCAAACAAGAAAGTTTACACCTCAGTTTTTTCATCAGCATGTTTGCCTTTGTTGCAAAGAACAAGGTTCACTAAGGGCCTTTTTTTGGCCTTGTGAATTTCTGAAAAATCAAAACTGCCTACTTACAGATGACAATACATCAAATATCACTTAAACCATTGATGATTGTGTACCTATTGAAAATGACTTCATTTTCTTGCTAGCAGATGCATTATGACATCATGGATTCTGTTATTATAGCCATATTCTGAGAGAAAAAAACCTCAAAAATGGTTTAAAAAAGATCAAACTTTTTTAATTCTGTAAACAACACATCTCTGATCTGATATATGCAAGTATATAATTATAGAACAGTTTCTGAAGATTATGAAACATTTTATTTTTAGGATTGAGGGGTGTAAACATATATTTTATTTCTTTGCTGATTGCACTCAAGCATACCTGTTTCCTACAAAATGCAAGAACATTGCAGTTTCACAAGCCCATTTTCCAATACCTGGACTCTCAAAGAAAAATTTGTTATACTTAATGAAAGCACCAGGTCTCTACTTTATATTAATGTATTAAATAATACCTAGGGTTGGTTGATAAAACGGGGTACATGGACAGGTCCTTTTTATGCATAAAGTGAACCTAGCTCTTTGCGAATTTAAAACGGATAAATATCAAAGTAAACAGCATTATCACTTTAGCACAATTGTGTTTGAGTGAATTTAAAACGAGACAAAATTGTTTGCAAGTGTGAAAAAGAGAAAGTAATTCTGTATACAGCATTATTTTATCAGTTAAATCAAATATACGTTGTTTGTACTTGCTGTACTGAATGTTTCATTTAGAAAGTAACTTAGTATACAGTGTACGGTATTATCTTATCAGTTAAATCAAATATACATGAACATTGGATGTACTTGTTTTACTGAATGTTTCACTTACTATTATTTCATTTACTTTTGTAACAGGTCATTGTATCAATGGAACCATTCCTCAATATACTGAAGTTCAGAGTAATAATTTGGGTAAGGAAGGAGGAATTTATTAAAATTTATAAATAATAAAACTTTATACTTAACAAAATGTTTCACATTTCCATTAGACTTCAATTTCTTAGCAAAGGAAAATATCTTGGGCAAAGAATTGAATTCATAATGATGATGATTGCATTTATCAACATATATTTTAGTGGTTTGTAAATCTGTGCACATTTTCTACATATACAAGTATGTACATATTACTTAATATATATGATCTATTTTGTAGGCAGTACTGTGTATTTTACAGTTATTAGTTATATATGATCTATTTTTTAGGCAGTACAGGGTATTTTACTGTTATTAGTTATATATGTTCTATTTTGTAGGCAGTACAGGGTATTTTTCTGTTATTAGTTATATCTGTTCTATTTTGTAGGCAGTACAGAGTATTTTACTGTTATTAGTGATATATTTTCTATTTTGTAGGCACTACAGGGTATTTTACTGTTATTAGTTATATATGATCTATTTTGTAGGCAGTACAGGGTATTTTACTCTTATTAGTTATATATGTACTATTGTAGGCAGTGCAGGGTATTTTACAGTTATTAGTTATATCTGTTCTATTTTGTAGGCAGTACAGGGTATTTTACTGTTATTAGTTATATCTGTTCTATTTTGTAGGCAGTACAGGGTATTTTACTCTTATTAGTTATATCTGTTCTATTTTGTAGGCAGTACAGAGTATTTTACTGTAATTAGTGATATATTTTCTATTTTGTAGACACTTCAGGGTATTTTACTGTTATTAGTTATATATGATCTATTTTGTAGGCAGTACAGGGTATTTTACTCTTATTAGTTATATATGTACTATTGTAGGCAGTGCAGGGTATTTTTCTGTTATTAGTTATATCTGTTCTATTTTGTAGGCAGTACAGGGTATTTTACTCTTATTAGTTATATATGATCTATTTTGTAGGTAGTACAGGGTATTTTACTGTTATTAGTTATATATATGTTCTATTTTGTAGGCAGTACAGGGTATTTTACTCTTATTAGTTATATATGCTCTATTTTGTAGGTAGTACAGGGTATTTTACAGTTATTAGTTATATCTGTTCTATTTTGTAGGCAGTACAGGGTATTTTTCTGTTATTAGTTATATCTGTTCTATTTTGTAGGCAGTACAGGGTATTTTTCTGTTATTAGTTATATCTGTTCTATTTTGTAGGCAGTACAGGATATTTTTCTTTTATTAGTTATAACTGTTCTATTTTGTAGGCAGTACAGGGTATTTTTCTGTTATTAGTTATATTTGTTCTATTTTGTAGGCAGTACAGGGTATTTTTCTGTTATTATTTATATCTGTTCTATTTTGTAGGCAGTACAGGGTATTTTTCTGTTATTAGTTATATCTGTTCTATTTTGTAGGCAGTACAGGGTATTTTACTCTTATTAGTTATATATGTACTATTGTAGGCAGTGCAGGGTATTTTACAGTTATTAGTTATATCTGTTCTATTTTGTAGGCAGTACAGGGTATTTTTCTGTTATTAGTTATATCTGTTCTATTTTGTAGGTAGTACAGGGTATTTTATTGTTATTAGTTATATATATGTTCTATTTTGTAGGCAGTACAGGGTATTTTACTCTTATTAGTTATATATGATCTATTTTGTAGGTAGTACAGGGTATTTTACTGTTATTAGTTATATATGTTCTATTTTGTAGGCAGTACAGGGTATTTTTCTGTTATTAGTTATATTTGTTCTATTTTGTAGGCAGTACAGGGTATTTTACTGTTATTAGTTATATCTGTTCTATTTTGTAGGCAGTACAGGGTATTTTTCTGTTATTAGTTATATCTGTTCTATTTTGTAGGCAGTACAGGGTATTTTTCTGTTATTAGTTATATCTGTTCTATTTTGTAGGCAGTACAGGGTATTTTACAGTTATTAGTTATATCTGTTCTATTTTGTAGGCAGTACAGGGTATTTTACTGTTATTTGGAACACTGGGAATTAAGTACCTCATCTCCAAAGCTCTCAATGTCACAGATGATGTAAGTGTTTTATATAGAAACTGGTTCCTTATTTTGTATAGTTAAACCAATGCCGGGGGGGGGGGGGGGGGGGGGGGGGGGGTTCAGGAAGCAGTTAGATTTAATCTTTTGATTGTATCTTTTTATACACTCTTCAACTCTATTTGTTTATTATTCAGATATGTTCATATTTGAAAAAATAATGTTTTTTCTTTTACATTTCTGTTGATTATTCCTCTGTAATAATGATTATGTTAGTTTGATATTTTTGTCAAATTGGAGAGAAATGATTAATATTTAATTAATTAACTGAACAATTGATATTTATGTGTCTACAGGAACATATAGGAGATATATTTAGAAGCAAGTTTTCGGATTTCAATAACTTCCACACCATGTTGTATACGTGTGCTCCCGAGTTTGACTTCCTGGCAGCTGAGGTAAAATTTTATAATCGTAAGCTCTATATTGATATTTGCTATAGGTACTGTACAGTTTCTACAAAAGTTCACTGTGAACAAGTATGAATTCATATATTCATATTCATATGAATTCATATATATATATTGTGGTTAAAATGATCTTATTTCATTGGTCGTAAATGCCTAATCAAACATAAATTTTATTGTGTTGGTCGCAAATGTGGAATCAAACATCAGTTTGATGTGTTGGTCATAAATGCTGAATCAAACATCAATTTTTTATGTGTTGGTCATAAATGTGGAATCAAACAGATGACGTATGTATCCTCCTGTTGTTTACAGACTTACTGGAAATTACTGAAGACGATACTCCTTCCTTCTGTAGCCGTCGTCGCTATAGTGCTGGCTGTCAAGGTGAGTTCTGTCTGTAGAGGTCGTCGTTATAGTGTTGGCTGTCAAGGTGAGTTCTGTCTGTAGAGGTCGTCGTTATAGTGTTGGCTGTCAAGGTGAGTTCTGTCTGTAGAGGACGTCGTTATAGTGTTGACTGTCAAGGTGAGTTCTGTCTGTAGAGGTCGTCGTTATAGTGCTGGCTGTCAAGGTGAGTTCTGTCTGTAGAGGTCGTCGTTATAGTGTTGACTGTCAAGGTGAGTTCTGTCTGTAGAGGTCATCGTTATAGTGTTGGCTGTCAAGGTGAGTTCTGTCTGTAGAGGTTGTCGTTATAGTTCTGGCTGTCAAGGTGAGTTCTGTCTGTAGAGGTCGTCGTTATAGTGCTGGCTGTCAAGGTGAGTTCTGTCTGTAGAGGTCGTCGTTATAGTGTTGACTGTCAAGGTGAGTTCTGTCTGTAGAGGTCGTCGTTATAGTGTTGGCTGTCAAGGTGAGTTCTGTCTGTAGAGGTCATCGTTATAGTGTTGGCTGTCAAGGTGAGTTCTGTCTGTAGAGGTCATCGTTATAGTGTTGACTGTCAAGGTGAGTTCTGTCTGTAGAGGTCATCGTTATAGAGTTGGCTGTCAAGGTGAGTTCTGTCTGTAGAGGTCATCGTTATAGTGTTGGCTGTCAAGGTGAGTTCTGTCTGTAGAGGTCGTCGTTATAGTTCTGGCTGTCAAGGTGAGTTCTGTCTGTAGAGGTCGTCGTTATAGTGCTGGCTGTCAAGGTGAGTTCTGTCTGTAGAGGTCGTCGTTATAGTGTTGACTGTCAAGGTGAGTTCTGTCTGTAGAGGTCGTCGTTATAGTGTTGGCTGTCAAGGTGAGTTCTGTCTGTAGAGGTCATCGTTATAGTGTTGACTGTCAAGGTGAGTTCTGTCTGTAGAGGTCATCGTTATAGTGTTGACTGTCAAGGTGAGTTCTGTCTGTAGAGGTCGTCGTTATAGAGTTGGCTGTCAAGGTGAGTTCTGTCTGTAGAGGTCGTCGTTATAGTGTTGACTGTCAAGGTGAGTTCTGTCTGTAGAGGTCATCGTTATAGTGTTGACTGTCAAGGTGAGTTCTGTCTGTAGAGGTCATCGTTATAGAGTTGGCTGTCAAGGTGAGTTCTGTCTGTAGAGGTCATCGTTATAGTGTTGACTGTCAAGGTGAGTTCTGTCTGTAGAGGTCATCGTTATAGTGTTGGCTGTCAAGGTGAGTTCTGTCTGTAGAGGTCATCGTTATAGTGTTGACTGTCAAGGTGAGTTCTGTCTGTAGAGGTCATCGTTATAGAGTTGGCTGTCAAGGTGAGTTCTGTCTGTAGAGGTCATCGTTATAGTGTTGGCTGTCAAGGTGAGTTCTGTCTGTAGAGGTCGTCGTTATAGTTCTGGCTGTCAAGGTGAGTTCTGTCTGTAGAGGTCGTCGTTATAGTGCTGGCTGTCAAGGTGAGTTCTGTCTGTAGAGGTCGTCGTTATAGTGTTGACTGTCAAGGTGAGTTCTGTCTGTAGAGGTCGTCGTTATAGTGTTGGCTGTCAAGGTGAGTTCTGTCTGTAGAGGTCATCGTTATAGTGTTGACTGTCAAGGTGAGTTCTGTCTGTAGAGGTCATCGTTATAGTGTTGACTGTCAAGGTGAGTTCTGTCTGTAGAGGTCATCGTTATAGAGTTGGCTGTCAAGGTGAGTTCTGTCTGTAGAGGTCGTCGTTATAGTGTTGACTGTCAAGGTGAGTTCTGTCTGTAGAGGTCATCGTTATAGTGTTGACTGTCAAGGTGAGTTCTGTCTGTAGAGGTCATCGTTATAGAGTTGGCTGTCAAGGTGAGTTCTGTCTGTAGAGGTCATCGTTATAGTGTTGACTGTCAAGGTGAGTTCTGTCTGTAGAGGTCATCGTTATAGTGTTGACTGTCAAGGTGAGTTCTGTCTGTAGAGGTCATCGTTATAGTGTTGACTGTCAAGGTGAGTTCTGTCTGTAGAGGTCATCGTTATAGTGTTGGCTGTCAAGGTGAGTTCTGTCTGTAGAGGTCATCGTTATAGTGTTGACTGTCAAGGTGAGTTCTGTCTGTAGAGGTCGTCGTTATAGTTCTGGCTGTCAAGGTGAGTTCTGTCTGTAGAGGTCGTCGTTATAGTGCTGGCTGTCAAGGTGAGTTCTGTCTGTAGAGGTCGTCGTTATAGTTCTGGCTGTCAAGGTCAGCTTTGTGTTTTTCTGATTGATAAATTTTCATTCTTAACAACAAAGCTGCATGAAACAAAGTCTTATATAATAGAAAAAGGTTGTATTGAGAAATTATTATGACAGTTATGACTTAATTTGCCTTATTTTGTGTAATGAATTTGACTTATCATACTTATTGATCAAAATTTTAACTCTGTGCTCAGAAATCTTGATGCCATTTGTTAAAAAAAAATAAACCCTTTCACGATAACTGAGTACTACTTTTTTGCAGGGCAAAATTGTATATTTTGGTGAAATATGATGTAAAAGTAATTTTTTAATATACCTCATTTAATTATCTATCAACAAAAACTTCACCATGTATTAATTTGCCCTGCAAAGAGTAGTACCACAGTTCTCGTGAAATGGCTAATTGTATAAGACGAGGAGATTGTTGAGATCTTCCCCTCTGCTGTTTCAGTTGTTGAAGTTGGAATATAACCTATGGAGACAGACATGTACAGAAGAAGAAGAAGAAGACATTGTTCTGGAGGGAGAACATCGCAGTAAACCACACGCTGAGGTCCGTCTCTTTAATAAGAGAAAAAATTAAATTAAAATAAGAGAAACACATCTGACGTCAGTTTCTCATATCAGTAAAATTAGAGAAACACATACTGAGAAGGAAAAAAACTATTTTTGATGTTTTTTGATTGTTTAACTTTTTTTTTTAAAGTTGGGAAAATTTCTTTGATATTGAATTACATGTAGTGCCCCATCATCATGATCATATAAAAAGTCCTCTAAATATCTGTTTACTGATTGACATCGAATTAACCATACAACATGCAGCATATCTGTATATTGATTGACATCGAATTAACCATACAACATGCAGCATATCTGTATACTGATTGACATTGAATTAACCATACAACATGTAGCATATCTGTATATTGATTGATAACGAATTAACCATACAACATGCAGCATATCTGTATACTGATTGACATTGAATTAACCAGACAACATGCAGCATATCTGTATATTGATTGACATCGAATTAACCATACAACATGTAGCATATCTGTATACTGATTGACATCGAATTAACCAGACAACATGCAGCATATCTGTATACTGATTGACATCGAATTAACCAGACAACATGCAGCATATCTGTATACTGATTGACATCGAATTAACCAGACAACATGCAGCATATCTGTATACTGATTGACATCGAATTAACCAGACAACATGTAGCATATCTGGCCAAGAATCCTGAAACATGTTGGACTTTTGTCAAAATCTGTACATAACAATCTGTATTGTTAGGATGTGTTAACAGTCCAAAATTGGATGTCTTGAAAACCTGATTATCATTATACTGTTTATATATATATATATATATATATATATATATATATATATATATATATATATATATATATATATATATATATATATATATATATATATATATATATATATATATATAAATTTTGAGTTTCACTCCAAGAGTCATTAAAAGGCATCTTACTAGATATAATTGAAAGATAAATACTGAAAGCTGTTTCTATGATGCTTTGTCTGATGTTTATTATCTTTCAAGGCCACAGATTTTCTCATTTACATGTAAATTAATTATATGTAACTGTTTCTGTTTTTTAGTATGTGTATCACATGTTCCAGTTAGCGGCCTTTACACTAATGGCAGTCATCATAATGAGGCTGAAGTTATTCTGGACGCCACACCTCTGTCTCATGACCTCATTACTGGCTTCTAGAAAGGTAAAAATGGAAACATGTAATCATGGCTATGTACTGTATCAGTTTCTATGTATACTTATTTGTGGGTAAACTTGAGAGCATAAACCATTGTAGTGCATCATTTAAATACTAACCAGTGGAGCATATCTGATCTGATAACCTTGGATATGTACCTGTCATATTTAATAACTTAATGCCTTGTTCGCACAGGGAGTGTAATACGAATTAAACGTAAGTTACTGCGAATTAAATTTGAACCACCTTCACACAGAGAATTTAATGCAAATTAGTATAATTCTAATTAATTTATTGTGCATCAAATTACTTAGCATTAGGTCTAATTTAAATTAAATTCTGGCGCGTAATAGCAACATTAAGCCACCTGCTACATGTCAGTGGTAAGATATCAGTACTTATACTATTTTTTAGCAAAAAACAAAGTAAAATTAAATTGATCACTAAACATCTGTACAGGCACCACGATATTATGTCAAATGTAATCTGCTCTGCATAAGGTGACATGATTTGCAAATGACATCATAATAACCTTACTATAAAGAAATAAAATTTGAATTTGCATATGTTTACTTTGCATTGACTGTCCTGTGAAGCCAATTTAATTTGCATTAGTTTAATTCATATTATTTTACTTTGAATTAATTTACTGCAAATTAAATATTTAATGCGCAATCAACGACATTCCTGTGAACAAGGCATGAATTCTAGGCTGTCTAAATATGTTTTACGCTGAGCTCGATATAAGGCAAAAAAAATTAGTCAATAGTTTCTCAGGCACCACCGCATCAGGTCAAAAACTACCGCATTGATAAATTTTATAGACACATGAGAAGGGAAATAACTCAATTCTTTATTTTTCCAAGTTGAAAAAGAAAATCGAGTTATTCACCTTTTCGTATATGCTTATAGATAGATGTTTTTATTACATAAACAACATATTTCTTTTATGAATTAACTTCTAAACAAATTTTTGGAATAACATTAAAGTTGAATGTATATTATCATTAATGTAAGAGAACAAAAAAAGTAAGAATCAGTTGATATCATCAATTTGTTGAACGAATGACATGGGAAAAAAAAAAATAATAACACCTGCTTCCAAAAAAAAAAAAAAAAAAAGAACCTGCCTGCCAAATTGAATTTTGAAATTTTTGGCCTGAGAAACTATTAATTATTTTTTTGGGGCCTAAATATGGGGCCAGCATACTGAGGAATCATGGGAACTTTCATATCTTATTACAATCAAACCTCGTTATCTCCAACTTGATGGGACCAAGATTAAAACAATATCCAAGAATTCAAGATAACAAGTTAAAAAGCATACAGAATAAGTGGTTGGGACTTACAAATCACTTTGACATGTCTCTGGTATTTGAAATATTGATGTTTGAGATAAGAATGTTCCACTGTATTATAACTCTAGGAATGTATTAAAGGTGCTTAGACACAGATTTGAACTTAATATTTTCTCAAATTTTCTGTATAATGTCATGACTTATATATTGCTATAGCATTTCACATAAAAATATAATTAAAAACTTATTTTATCTGGAAGTTATTGGAACTACGAATTCCGGAACGAATTTGATTAACTCATCTTTGCACTTACACAAATTTTAACTTTATCCTTAATATTTAAGAAAAGAAGCGATTTTGTTATTTATTAATGAAAAATATTACATCTATAATCCAGAAATTCAGAGTAAAAATGTTCGAAAGCAAAACCAGCTCACCAGTATTGTCAGTCCATGCTCTGTGATGTGTATAGAGTTCATCAAATTGAACACACCCATGAAACGTAAACTGTTTTTGTAAACAGGGCACGAGCTCTGTTATTGTTAATGTTTACGATTCACAGGGTGTGTTCAATTGTTAAACTCTGCACACACCACTGAGCATCGACTTACAATACTGTGAGTGGGTTTTGCTTTCGAACATTTCTACTCTGAATTTTCTGGGTTATAGTTTTAATATTTTTCATTAGTACACAACAAAATTGCCACTTTTCTTAAGTTTAAAGAATAAAATTAAAATATGTGAAAGCGCAAGGATGTGTCAATCCAACGCGTTCAGAAATTCGAAGTTTTAATAACTTCGAGATGAAATAAGATTTGTATTATATTTTAGTATGAAATGCTATAGCAACATACAAGTCATGAAATTATACAGAAAATTTGAGAAAATATTAACTTCAAATCTGTGTCCAAGCACCTTTAAGCCTTTTTTGTTTATATCTTCTGTTTCGTTTGGAAAGTGACAGAATTCTTTTGTTGATTGTTTACAGTTGTTTGGCTGAATATTTTGGAACAAGACAGTCTAATGACTGGGATTTAGGGTGAATTCACCATGCATCGGACACCCTTGCACTTCAACAAGTTCTAGCGATATCGCTACCGACCGAATATTATCAAAATGGAACTTAACATGTAGTATGTAGTTAAATTATAAATTTTTGACACATTCGTGCCCTGTTTATTGAGAAAATATCATTAAAAACCGATTTTTTCGAAATAAGTCAGAATTCACCATGGATCAGACAATATTCACCATGCATCGGACATACGATATTTATACCAGAAAAATATCATACCTTGATCTCAGTGCTTTAAAATTACTGATATCGAAACATTTTTATCTTTTATTAAAAAATTAAACTTCTAATTAAATTTGAATGACCATTTCGATCCACAAATATGAAGAGATTTTAGTTGCATCACATCGCCTTAGAAAGGCTTTTCAATGCTAGTAATATGGCAACTCGCGCCTTTGTCTCATGGGTTAAAATAATCTAGTTTAAAGAAGTAAATTGAGTCCACTTCTAGTCGTCATATATCCATAATTTGTATTTTCACTGAAAATTTAGAGTTTCTATTTTCGTAAAAAACAGCTGTCATTTGGGTTTTACATGAAAATGGAAGTGATTACCCATGCATCGGAAAGTGTCCGATGCATGGTTAATTTGTGTCAGATGTACGGTGAAATAAACATACTAGTAAAAGACAACTCTAAAAATTATTTTACAAACATTGAAGTAAAATTTTTGAAAAATTTCTGTAAAATTATCAATCATTGATAAATTTTACCTAGGTCCGACTTGTTCCGTTGAAGTCTATTTAAAAGAGAGACAACTCTAAAAATTGCAAAATCATAAAATTCTGGTTACTCCCCTTTGATGATGCAAAATATGATGTAATTTCAAGGCCATTCTTGTGGATTTTTATCACAACATGGAAATAAAAATCGGCATCATTAAAAAGTTTATATCTTTACCTTTAAGACAGAAACAAGTAAAAACACGGGGAGACTCGGGTTCAATGAAAGTTTATTGCTGAAAGTTGTCTGAAGCAAGGTATGTGTCCGATGCATGGTTAACTCACCCTAATTGATTGTTTACAGCTGTTCAAGCTGTGTGAATTGAGATAGGGCAGGTGTCTGAGTTATAAGAGTTATTTTGTTTTACAGCTGTTAAGCTGTGTGAATTGAGATAAGGCAGGTGTCTGAGTTATAAGAGTTATTTTGTTTTACAGCTGTTAAGCTGTGTGAATTGAGATAAGGCAGTTGTCTGAGTTATAAGAGTTATTTTGTTTTACAGCTGTTAAGCTGTGTGAATTGAGATAAGGCAGTTGTCTGAGTTATAAGAGTTATTTTGTTTTACAGCTGTTAAGCTGTGTGAATTGAGATAAGGCAGGTGTCTGAGTTATAAGAGTTATTTTGTTTTACAGCTGTTAAGCTGTGTGAATTGAGATAAGGCAGGTGTCTGAGTTATAAGTGTTATTTTGTTTTACAGCTGTTAAGCTGTGTGAATTGAGATAAGGCAGGTGTCTGAGTTATAAGAGTTATTTTGTTTTACAGCTGTTAAGCTGTGTGAATTGAGATAAGGCAGGTGTCTGAGTTAAAAGAGTTATTTCATTTTTTCAGCTGTTTGGCTGGATAGGAGGGAAGGAGAAGCACTATGCCGTGGTAACCGTACTCCTGGCCTGTATGACCATCGAGGGAGTCCAGAATATCATGCATCAGTGGAGCATCATGGGAGAATACAGTAACTATCCGCTAGAGGAAATGGTGGAGTGGATCAAAGTCCAGACCCCTAAAAGTAGGTCATCTATCCAGACACCCCCCAGAACAGGTCACAGTTACCAGACCTAAATGTAGGTCACAATATCCAGACCCTAAGAGTAGGTCATACTGTCCAGACCCAAAAAGTAAGTTAAAGTATCCAGACCTTAAATATAGGTTCATACAGTATTAACCCATGAGAGGAACTGATGGAGTGAATTGAAAACCAGACCCCTAAAAGTAGGTCATACCATCCAGGCCCCCCAAAATAGGTCATACTAACCAGGCCCCCAAAAGTAGATCTCAATATCCAGGCCCCTTATTCATTTTACGTAAGTCATAATACCCAGCACATTTTTTTGTGTGCAATAAATATGCATTTTTTTCAATGGGTGGCACTCTTGCTCTCTGGTTGTCCATCCCAATTTTTTTTCAGACCAGAGAGCTACAGATCTGCAGCTAATATAGAGGCTGTATTCTCTGGTCTAATAAGACCTACAGTTCTGATAATACTGAATTTTCTTCATGTTATATAGAGGCTGTGTTTGCTGGTCCTATGCCCACCATGGCGACCATTAAGTTGTGTACAGTAAGACCTACAGTTCTGATAATGTTGTGTTTTCTATTTATATAGAGGCTGTGTTTGCTGGTCCTATGCCCACCATGGCGACCATTAAGTTGGGTTCAGGAAGACCTCAGTTCTGATCGTGTTGTATTTTTTATTTATATAATTATATAGAGTCTGTGTTTGCTGGTCCTATGCCCACCATGGCAACCATTAAGTTGTGTACAGGAAGACCTCAGTTCTGATCGTGTTGTATTTTCTATTTATATAGAGGCTGTGTTTGCTGGTCCTATGCCCACCATGGCGACCATTAAGTTGTGTACAGGAAGACCTATTGTAAATCATCCTCACTATGAAGACGCTGGACTCAGGTAAAAAAAAATATTATAAAAAACAAACCTTTTTTGAAAAATAAAAAGAAATCAATATAGTCATAATAAGTATGCTCCTAGTTTTAATAGTAGACAGATTTGTGTTGCCGCATTATGAAATGCTTCATGGACAAAGAAATGTGAATTTTAAGTCTATGTTCTAAATACAGTCATTTGAATCGCCTATCTCTTGAACATTGGTAGTTGGAAGTCCCAATTACTATTCCCTTTTTTTCAACTGAATATCTGCATTTGCATCCATGTAAGGCCATCTATAAAATATTTTTTGCTTGCTCTCTCCAGACCAACTGGCTAAAAATAGCCTAACTCTAAAATTTTCTCATCCCATCAACAACTTTCAAGATTTTATTTATCTTCCATTTTAAACAGATTTTGAAAATTCAGTATTGATGTTGAAAATTTCTAGCCTAAGGGGATAAAAACATTCTCAACCTAACTACCCACCCATTTTTTTCCCCTGAGTCAGAAGAGGACAAACAGACATTTTAAAGATGGCTCAACTTGAAGACCTTTTAAGTCTGGAATGACAATGTTTTACTGTATTTTACTATGATACTGCTGATGTTTGTTTCACAGAGCAAGGACGATGAAGGTGTACTCTATGTTCAGTAAGAAACCTTTGTCAGAGGTCAAACAGAACTTACTGGATCTAAAAGTGGACTTTGTCATCCTAGAGAACTCCTGGTGTGTCCGAAAACAAAAGTAAGTATTCATCATCTCCTGGTGTGTCCGAAAACAAAAGTAAGTTTTCATCATCCAGTAAGTGTGTGATCTGATGGAAAAATCAACTTTGTAGAGAAACGAGTGGAATAAATATTTGTATGCAATTAACATACATGTAATTATGTGATATTTATGGGTTTATATACACTTACTGAAAGCTACGATAAATGGGTTTGGTTGGTACATGTACAGGATCAAATCTACTGGGAAGCTTTAATAATTTTATAAATCAATTGTTTGTAATTGTGAGCATGGAAATTGTAGATTTGTATTTAATCTATGATTAAAATGCATGCATATAAATTGATCCCACTTCAGACAAATTTGTAGATTACTGATTGGATAAAAGCTAATCACAAATTTTCCGTATTACATCTCCACCTGGGGTAATATTAAAATCTGGAACGCGATTCTGTTCAAAGCGTCATTATTGTAAATAAAAATGGCAGGTAAGAAACAGTTTGCGTAGGCAGTTAAATTTCTTGCTACTTGTTATGATATTTTATGTTGATTGTTATTGGATTATAAATTGATATTTTAATAATATGCTCATATATTCTTTCTTTTTTTTAAATTTAAAAAGGTGTTCAGCGGGATAAATTCATAACACGGTCAGTTAGGGACCTAATACGGAGTCATACAGGGTGTGAAATGGAAATCCGTATTGGGACTCGGCTTGGCCTCGTCCAAAACGGATTTCAATTTTGCACCCTGTATGACTCCATATTAATTCCCTAACTGACTGCATAATTAAATATTGTCTTTCAGAAAGCAAGCAAAAGAATGCCTTTTTTCAAGCATTAAATTTTCCTATTATTTTTTGTAGAACTCATTCATAATGCAACTCATTTACATGTAGCTGATGGGTAGGTTAGAAAGTCACGCTGTTGCGTCAATTAGCATATGAATGTTTCTACATCAGAAAAAGATACTTTCCTCGTTCTGTTCATAATGAGAAAGGCCATCATTTATGTCTCATTGTTCACTACCTGTTTACTTGATTTTTACAGAGAGGGTTGTGGTATGGCTGAGATCTGGGACATCGAGGACCAGAAAAACCGCCACCAAACCGTCCAGGCATGTACCAAGTTACGAGAAAGACCCGAGCCTCACTTCAGTCGTGTGTTCCGGAATGATGTGTATGATGTCCTCAAGATCTCAAAGTGGTAGAGCAGGGGAAGGGAGACCAGTTTAATTTTCATTGTGATATGTCTATTACTAGTCCCTGATATTTTGTATTTTTTCTCATTATAAGATCTTTGATAGCTAACCAAAATGTATGACTGGTTTTTTTTTAAACATGAAAGAGTAGGTGTGAATGAAATATTTATTTTTATCATTTTGAAACACAAATTGCTTTATGAAAGGATATTTTTTTTCTTGCCAAAATGTGTTTTACATGCAGTATTACAGAATGTTATGTATAAGATAAAGAAATTTTAGCAATTGTTTACACATTTGTTACAATGGTCTGTGTATGAGAATTACACACAACTTTAAAAAAAAAATGGAAAGATACAAAATTCTGAGAGATGACTTTTCACATAGTATTTTTATCCCTGCTCCAAAAAAATAATGTTTACAATACCGTACTTATTTTTGGTACATCAAAGATTGCTCCTCATGGAAATTTGATTTTAGTTGCGTAATATATAAGCTGCCAAACTATAATATTGTCAGAAATCCTGTTTGAAACCCCTTTTATGCTATTTTTTTTAGGATGTATATATGTAATTGAGTCATTCATGTCTGTTCTTTTATTGGAACTTCTTTTAACTTAAATTTTTATGTATATTTTCTGGATGACAAGACTTGGGTGTAGAAAGGGGACAGTAGACAGATAAGATTTGTAGTGTATGTTTTCGAAAAACTTGCTGTTAAATTCCTTGTTATTGTTCAACTTATTTATTTCCTTTTGAGTTTAAAATCTAGTTGTAAACATTATTGACCTCGGTTCGTTGTAAACATGAATTCATTGTAAGAGTCTTTTCTCTAACCATGATTTACTGTAGTTCAAAATTTAAAAAGTTATACATAGTGACCCATTATTTGTTTTTTTTTATTGGCTGTTGGACTTTGTGTTAATTTGATCATTACTTGCTTTTATTATTAACATGGGTTTGTGTTTGTATGAGATGATCACTGGACAGGATTGTCTGCTCATTTAAAGTTTGTGAGTACAATTATAATCATGAAAATTCTTCTTGTCTACTTTCTTATCATTATTATTTATTTATTTTATGTTTTTTTAAACATTTTTTAATACCATAAATTATTTTTCTCAACTTTTGTTGGTATTTAAGACAGAGTAGGGTGATGAAATAGTTAAAAGCTTCGTATAAGAAATTTAACCAAACAAAAGAAAACTTGTCTCAGAAGTAATTGATAATGAACTTGAAAGAAGTCATCGTTTAACAATTTCCTGGTAAAAGCTTGATGATTAAGGAACATTTGACTCAGTCTTTCAAACAGTTAATTAAAATTAATTTGTTACAACATGCAAAATGCAGTAGAAAGCAGTTACTGTAACAGTTTGATATTGTCCCAGCAGGTATTACATATTCTTGCAAGTTATTATGTTCTCAAGTTTATATACTATTTTTTTTCTTTTTAAGTTCATTCCCTTTTCAAAAATATAATTGTCAGTCTGTATTTCATTCCATGGCTTAAATTTGTCTCCCTTTAGTTGAACATTGTCTTTCAGAGATAGTGAGAAGATGCCGACTTGACTGCATGTTCAACAACAGAGAGAAGCTGTCATCAACCAACTTTATTGTTACATTTTTTACAACTGATTCATAATATAGGATTATCTTGTACTTGGTCACACAGAAGTCACTGTAGAATGAACAGTTTTACATCAGCAGCTCAAGCCAGATGTTGAGATGTTAAACTGTTATCATTTCTAGATAACGAGTACTCTGAAATCACATATTTTACATCAGCAGCTCAAGCCAGATGTTGAGATGTTAAACTGTTATCATTTCTAGATAACGAGTACTCTGAAATCACATATTTTACATCAGCAGCTCAAGCCAGATGTTGAGATGTTAAACTGTTATCATTTCTAGATAACGAGTACTCTGAAATCACATATTTTACATCAGCAGCTCAAGCCAGATGTTGAGATGTTAAATTGTAATCATTTCTAGATAACGAGTACTCTGAAATCATATATTTTTAATTAGTGCGTCATTAAAAATTATTGCTGTCTTATCATATAACATTTATTCTGTATGTTCTGAACTTTGTTGAATGGGGTTGGAAAATAAAAGAAGACAAAGATATTGCTTTGTTTTGTTATTTTCTAGTTTTCATCTAAAATTTGACTTATATTTAAATCAAATACATAGTCTATTATTCACAAACACCCATACATGTATGTATCAAATAATTATTGGAAAAAAGTTACATCTCTATAGTTAAGATAGAGCACACAATCAATTGTAGAAAAAGTTACAGATCTCTCTATAGTCAAGATAGAGCACACAATCAATTGTAGAAAAAGTTACAGAGCTTTCTATAGTCAAGATAGAGCACACAATCAATTGTAGAAAAAGTGACAGAGCTCTCTATAGTCAAGATAGAGCACACAATCAATTGTAGAAAAAGTTACAGAGCTCTCTATAGTCAAGATAGAGCACACAATCAATTGTAGAAAAAGTGCCGAGTAAATCATTAAGAACCCTCTATACACTGCACACTAAAGAGTTCTGATTCTGTGGTATTTTTATGTAGTTAGAGTAATCTGCCCTTAGTTCTGAAATAAAATAAATTGAAATTTACAAGTTATCGATCAATTTCTAATCAATTCAAGCATTCTTAACATTTTGATGGGCCAAGATGAATTAATTGAAAACCTCATCTGCATGCTTTTACACCACTTAGGTAAACAACAGTGATTTCTGTTCATCAAAACTTTGTTGACTTTGAACATTTCTCCTGGCGGTAAAAGCCAGGCACCCTGTGTAAAAAAAAAATGTCAAGGTCACACGACTTTTGTTTTTAGCATAACATTTGTAAACAGCATTGAATTGAAGCATGCAAAGGTGAGGAATATGTTCTGAAAATCTTTTTTTGAAGATTGTATTATTATCGAAATCCTCGGTCGACCGACATTTATTTCTTGGGGCTTAAAAATCATGGTATAGCCTCTTCAACTTTTCTGCGCATGCACACAATAAGGAAAAACTTTCATCTTGTGGCAGACAGAAATTATTTTTTCTCCACAGAAAGAGATTTTTTAGGTTTTGAAATCTGTAATTTTTTTTAAACATGATAGTACTTTCAAGAATCGAACAAAATTTGTATGAGTTCTATTTTTGTCAATTTTCCAGTTTTTGCGTCACTGTGTCGTTTTAAAGAATTCAACATGTTCAAATAAATGTTTTACGCTCATGTCAGTTAAAAAAAAATCAAACATAATTATGTACATTCGTCAGAGAGAAAAGCTGCATGGTGTTACATTGAAATTGAACAAACTCTTTGTGCTACATTAACTTAAAGGTATTTTAGACCCCCTTCCCCCCCCCCCCCACACACACACACAAAGAAGCTATACATAGAGAGGTAAATAAATAAATATTTCAGCAAGAATAATTCATTAAACTCTCCCTTAAAAATTCTCTTTCTTCATATTCAATCAATGGTCATGTATTAAAGGTCTCACTCTCCTGCAAAATTTTTTTTTTAGAGTTTTTGAATTTGTACAATAAACGTAATAAAAAATGTTTCTTAAGACCCCCTCAGAAATGTGGAACCCTAGCAATTTGATATGTACAGTAGAATGACGTATAAACGAAAGTGGTTTGTAAACCCACAGATGGTTTTTAGCTCACCCGATCCAAGGGCTAATGAGAAGTGACCCCTTCCACAAAATATGTAGAAGCTCACCTATGCAAATGACTATACATCTGTAATGTGAAGTGCCCCCTCCCACAAAAAAGGTTTTTAGCTCATTTGAGTTTTTGTCTCACCAGAACCAAAGACGAATGGGAGAGCCCCCCGCTCCCCCAAGCTAATGAGAAATTTCCACCTCCCACAAAATAGGTTTATAGTTCATCAGAGCCAAAGGCTAATTAGAAGTGTCCCTCTCTCAGAAATTAGGTATTTAGATCACATGAGCCAAAGGCTGATGAGAAGTTTCCCCCCTCCCATAAAATATGTTTACAGTTCACCTGAACCAAAGGTTAATGAGAAGCCCCCCCCCCCCCCCCCAATGGGTTTTTAGCTCACCTGAGCCAAAGGCTTATGAGATGTATCCCCCCTCCCACAAAATAGGCTTTTAGCTCTACTGAGCAAAAGACTTAATGTAATAAGTGTCCCTCCCACAAAATAGATTTTAGCTCACCTGAGTCAAAGGCTACTTAAAAGTAATTTGTCTCACTCTCTATTGAATTTTTACATTTTCCATCTATTAAAGAAACACTGAGTCAGAAAAAAAGTGAAACATACCTACTGACATGCATATAAATTCAAGTTTGTTCAAATCATGGCCACTGAGATAGAACTGTGAGAAAATGGAGTTTTACATTTTTGATGTATATATGTACATAAAAAAAGGGGGGGCTTAGAAATCTTCTTCTCAAGAACAGGGCCATGATAAGTCATTTCAATTAATATGCAGGCATCCTCGGGTATTCTTCATTTAAGTTTGTTCAAATAATAGCCTCAAGGAGTAGAGTGTAATACATTACGGGATCAGAGTGGGGCTAGCTAGCAAGACAGGATCAGGATGGGACTATAGCCTAAAAACAGGATCAGGATGGGGCTATAGCCTACAAAACAGGATCAGGGTGGGGCTATAGCCTACACAACAGGATCAGGGTGGGGCTATAGCCTAAAAACAGGATCAGGATGGGGCTATAGCCTACACAACAGGATCAGGGTGAGGCTATAGCCTAATATTTACATTCAGTGTAATTTTTCTTTATTATTGGAAATATACAACATTAAATACTATATAGCACACACGAAACCCTGTCACTACGCGAAAGAATACACAAAGGGAACTATATGCATTTTCAATACTCTAGGAACACAAAAATGTACATTGTTTTGGTTCAGTTTAATTTAAAACAATTACCTTATTAAATTATTATAAGAATATTACAATTGTACATTTAAAATTAATTTGTATTTTTTCCCCCTCGCAATATTCATTTCAGTGTGTTATTTAACTTTCCATGTCACAACGGTTCTTACGTCTATTAAGCACATCAGTTCTTAAAGGCGCTAAATTCATAAAAAAAAATTAACGAAATTAACAATTATGAAGAGATAAAATTAGAGAATGTAAATATAAGCATTGAATTCTTATTTTTGGATGTCGTTGGTCCTATAACAGCACCTGTCCATGCCGACAAACTATCATACCGCGCTAACGCGCGGTATTCAATTTGTCGGCACGGCCAGATGCTGTTATAGGAGCGACGACATCCAAAGAATAAGAATTCAATGCTTAACAAAACAGGAACAGGATGTGGCTATATAGCCTACAAAACAGAATCAGGGCGGGGCTATAGCTTAAAAACAGGATCAGGGTGGGGCTATAGCCTACAAAACAGGATCAGGGTGGGGCTATAGCTTAAAAGCGGGTCAAGGTGGGGCTACAGCCTACAAAACAGGATCAGGTTGGGGCTATATACATGTAGCCTACAAAACAGGAACAGGATGTGGCTATATAGCCTACAAAACAGGATTAGGAGGGGATATAGCTTAAAAACAGGGTCAGGGTGGGGCTATAGCCTACAAAACAGGATCAGGTGGGGCTATAGCTTATAAACAGGGTCAGGATGGGGCTACAGCCTACAAAACAGGATCAGGGTGGGGCTAGAGTTAAGATTGTGATATTTGAAATTCAAAAAATCTTTTAAAGAGTAGTAGCAGGGACGTACATAAAATTAAATTCGTTGCATTCCATACTTATCACGTGATCACATACTATATATATCCTCACTCATTCATGTTCGATTATCGAGTCTCGCTATAACCTACGGGTATACACATATATTTAAAAATGAGATAAACATTATGTATTTGATATTTTATGTATGTTTATGGTTCTGAATGTATTGATTAATGAAAAAATTATTTATAATAGACAGAATCAATATTATAATTATATAAGGCAATGCAAAATAAAAGGTTATAGCGAGTACCATTCCTAACATATGAGTTCTTTTCATTACTCTCATACTTA